GCGACACAGGTGCAGTCAGCGCCGTCTCTTTTGGCCTTACAGATACGCCAGACTCGCTTAACTCCTCCAGTACGGTTTCCAGGAAGGCTCAAAGAAGGCTCACGGCAGCGCATACCGAACTGGTCGGTGACAGTCGCATTCTGCAGACGGTCGCGTCATCCGGCCGACCCAGCGCTGCCTGGTTGCTCTGTCAAAATTATGCACTCTCAACTGAGCATTCCGTTCTGTTCTTGACGGACGGCGGAGGGAAGGCACGTGCTTCGGAGACAGGAGGCGCCGACGGCCGACGGCGCTGAAATGTTCCATGAAATACCAATACCTATAACGACTGTCGTAGTGACAGTGTTGAGTGACAGCGTGTCCGGTAGTGACAGCGTGTGCGGTGTCAATGTCAGGCGTCAGCGGACTGAGGTCTCATCACTGTCGCTCACCATGCGTCAGACTTGTGTTCGACGATAATTCCAGCATTCAGATTTTATCGCAGCCAGAATCCACAAAGGTATGAGGCAATCAACCGAAGTGCACGGAATACCAAAATAAATATTTCATCATCACTTCCTTTAACTGATACCCGAATCAACAAAAAAAAAAAAAAAAATCACAGCCGAGTGAATATGACGATTGCTACACTCCTGCGCTTGAATGCAGAGATTCAACTGCGACCTCTCAAACCTGCTTCCGGTAGTTTGACATTGATAAATATTTCCCTCTGACACAAATTGCTTCAGTATGAGACGCACGTAACACGAGCCAGACATCGCTCAACCTCCGCCCGCCCGACTCTGACCCTCTGTGCGTGCCGCTGCCTCTGAGGACAGTCGCACCGCGCCGGCCCGGCCACCGAGAGACGAGCAGCGAGCGACGGGCGGCGGCGCGGTCATTTCTGTGTCAGCCGAACAAACAAACACGGCACCTACATGTCTGGACACGTCGGCGGCCGGGCGGCGGTGACACTGGGCGGGTGGCGGTACCGCAGAGGTCGAGCGGACATTTGCCGAGGAAACTCACAAGTCGAAACCAGTAGAGCTAGGGATGTGGACCTGGAGACGGAATATTTTACACAAAGCTGGAGGCGGAGCAGCCGAGCATTTTATTTTGAGCTTGAGCCGGAATGCTCAAATAAAGCCGTACGAACTCCGAGATTGTTTACAGCTCCGCATGATGCATCCCGCCGCAAAGATTCACAGTTCACATGATCGGCCCCAAGCACTAATGGGCAACGTTTTTGGCCTTGGGTGCAGGGGGCGCGGGAACTACTTTCAGACTGGGGGGCACATCATAATAATAGAGATCAACTTGGGTACCCCCAAATCTAGTTTTCTCGTTCAGTTTCAGCCTTCAGGATACTTATTTTTAATCCCTTGGCTTTTTCAACAACAAAAGAAAAAATTTGAAAAAAGTGCGGTGTTCCGCCTCAAAGTTGTGGGGGCACCGCCCCGGGCAAGCTGCCCCCCCCGGTTCCAAGCTGCCCCCCCCCTCCCGGTTCCCGCGCCTATGCTTGGGTGTGCGTCTGTTTTCACACATCTGGAACGCACATTGGCTGGTGGTGGCGGCACTGACTGGTAACTGACACATGAGGTGGTGACTGGTGAGGGGCAGATGGAGTGACCGAGACCGTACTGTACGCAGTAGGTCAGGGGCTGACAAGACACCGCCCGGGCTGGGTTGTCGAAACAAGTTCAGACCGGTTCGGTTTATGTGAACGACAGCCCCGAAATCAACACGATTCATGGCGAAGGCGTTGTCAAATTTGAAATGAATACGTTGAGAAGTTCGTTCTAAAATAAAGCTCTCTGTGGTGCCGACTGGTGGAAAGCAACCGTCTCGGATGCTCCGTCCAACCCGGAACCTTTCTGCGCCGGTAAACCACTCAGCACACCATGGATCGACAAGTCACCCCGACACCCACCGGGCCACCCCTCCACCTCGGTCGTTCCCCTTTGCCGTGCTTACGTTCGGGAGCTCCGTACGGCGGCCCCGCGGGGCACGCCGCGGGCGGCACAGCCAACCCAAATACCCACTCTACGAGACCGTGACGCCTGGGGCGAGGCAGGGGCGGGGGGAGGGAAGGGGGCTCTGGGTTACCGGGTCGTGTTCTGACACCGCCTCAGGCGCTGACCTGACCAGAGTCAGGCGGCCAGACTGCGTGGCGCGGAACATCAAAACCACTGCCGTCAATCGGCCAAAGCTGCGGCAGCTGGGGCATCAGATAGTGACGTGAGACATGATTATGCAATATCGCAGATGGAGGGTAACCGGGGAGGCAGAAATGACGCGGAGACGGCCTCAAATGAAAGAGAGCGCACAGATCAGAGTGAAAGGTGTTCTTTAAGCTGTTGCACATACCTAACTCATCGTTAATCGGTTTCTAGTTATTTCGGTTACGTTAGCGGGCCGTGACGACCAAAAACAAACGAAGCGAGCAAAAATACACCGGTCCGGCCCCGAGCAGACGACGAAAGCGGCAGCATGAGACACGAAAAAGTAGCAAACAACTTCAGTTACTCAACAGCAAACATCGTCTCGAATAACCAACTATCCATTCCGACGGAGAGCGCGCAGCCATTTACGCTCCTTGGTTTTGTCCTTCAGCCTCAGCCCTCAGGTTTGCGGGGCTGATTTGAAAAGCGTAGAAATGTAACGGAGTGTTTGGACAGCCGTTCCTCACGCCCGTTATAACTAGATCAGCGACCCACGTGTGTGGTATACCTAGCCTGGTTTGTAAGACGTCGAGGTCCGGCCGCCCGTCACCGGCCTTGCAAGAACGAAGGCATGCGGACTTTTGTGCTCGCAGGCTCGCAGCTATGCAAACTTGGGACATTTCACCAATATCAAATAGATTCGGCCATGGGGCGGTATCAGCTGAAGCGTTCTTGAGCTAGCTGGAGGACGCAACATCTGTGTATGATAGCTATCAAGACAACGTATACCATTTCTTTCGCGTACATCTTTAGCATGACTTACCATCTCCAAATCACTACACAGTACACACAAACGTCAATTTTCAGAAATGTTACAACCAAATTGTCCACTACATTTCCCAGTATCCTGTTCCAAAACATTGAAGTCCCGTCTTCACGACAAACTGATCAGCTGAACTAGTTCCCTGGGTCCCAGTAGGTCCCAGTAGGTAAAGTTATCACCCATACCGAAGACTTATGATCAACAAATTATGAACCAGTAAAACGCCTTTAGGGCGACCAACAGAGCGAGCGAGAGGATGGGCCTTGCACGTGCGAAATTGCGAGGGGGTACCTCCAACTAACTTGTCCACTGCACCCTACTAACCGGTCTTTAGCGATGTGCCAAATTTCAGCGCAATCGGCCTAGCCGTTCTCGAGATCTGGAAGCGGCACACTGCACGTGCGCACGTGCAAGCGGGGTCCAAACTCCAAACTGACTTTTGCATGGCACCCTACTAACTGGTCCCTAACCGTGTACCAAATTTGAGCGCAATCGGCCCAGCCGTTCTCGAGATCTGGGAGCGCCCCCTGCACGTGCGCACGTGCTGTAGCACCCCAACCCCTATTCCCTATTCCCTATTCCCTATTCCACCCCTATTCCTGGCGGGGGGCCTCAGGAGCCCCCCTGAGGTTTTTTGGTTATTTCTCCCAAACGCGTTGAGCTAGGAAGCTCAAATTTTCTGACTTTTCCTAAAAGGCTTCTACGCAACATGTCTGAAAATTTTGAGTTGATCTAACCTCAGGTCAGGTCACCAGAGGCGGTTTGGTGACCCTACCTCAGAAAAGTTTGCAATCACGCCAGAGCTAGAGTTTTTGACCGATCAATTTCTTCTCTTCAGGCTTTAGTTAGGGTACCAGTATGTGCAATTTGTATATCTCGGAATTTTGATATCGGTGACCTAAGGTCAGGTCAGTTTCGCGACCTCCCCATTATAAGTCAATGGGGGAAAAATTTACTCCCTGTTTTTACCACTAAAACGGGTCGGAATGGCCCCATATACCATACATGACTTCATATACGATCAACCTTCACTACCTTGAGGTCTGTTTTGCTGTTGGGCAGCTGTGAGGTCATGTGACGTCATCAAAGGTCACCAAAGGTTTTTGGCCAATAACTCCGTACAGGAACAAGATACAGACGCGTGGATGGTCTCATTGTGTTCAGCTCGTCAAGACGCATCGAATGATATACATGATGACCTCGAGGTCACGTGACCTGAGGTCAACCTTTGACCTTGACCTTTCGAGGTCAACATATATATCATTCGATGCGGATTGACGAGAGGATCACGATGATGCCCTTAGTTTGTTCCTATCTTGACTAATTCGAAAGTTATTCGAGAAAAACTCTCTCCATATCTAGCGCCGCCATTTTGACTTTTTCGACCCCTGTGACGTCATCTTTGACCTGACCAGAAAATGACCTTAGTAAAAATTGTAGACCTTGTCCATGCGTATCCGATGCCGTTTACCGCTTGTCGCTATCCTGCTTCGTTCTCGAGATCTCAGGGGGGGGGGCCGAATCGGCCCCCCCCCGCCAGTTTCTTGTCCCGGCGGAGCCCGCCAGGAATAGGGTTAACACATGCAGATGAATTACCTGATGGAGACCTAACTGTGTACCGAGTTTCAATTCAATCGGCCCAACCGTTGTGCCGTTATTGAGGTTGCAATTTTGGGGGTTCTTAAAAAATGTCCAACTTTACCACGCGCCACGTGCGGTGGTTGGCAAGAACGCATGGTGGCCATCACACCACAGAACTTTTACGTCCAAGTGACATTCAGTAAAGAAGACCGCTTGTCAATCGGATGTCCCGTTCCTAAGATATTAGCTTTTGAAGAGCGTCCCCACGGCCGGCCGGCCGGCCGCTCATACTCAGGATTTTCCCTTAATTCAGTATGAGACTCCGCTCGCTTCGCTCGCTCCGTAACCATACCCGGTGCCACTGACTGACCTAAAACTCGCACTCACGCACACACTGCACCCCGTGGTCGACCCGTCAGAAAGTCTCCGTCAGTCGGTACCGAAAACACGACGGCTGCAAATTGGCGGTGTATATTAGCTCTCGATGATGGCAGGCGGGCTGCGCTCACACGTCCACGTGATGTACACGAGTCTGAGCGAACGATGCACACGGCAACTGGGGGTGCAGGGCCGCCGCTACGGACAGGGAGGCCACCCAGGGCGTCAGGGTAGTGCAGCACTGCGAGAATCCAGGTCGAATACACATCAGCCGCATGGCTGCAGCGGACACAGGAATGACAACAAAATGACGGCGGGTATCTACGGATGATGGAGGATAATGACGGATGATGCCAGCTGGAGATGAGCAGTTTCGGCCGGAATGAGAGAATGACATCGACGATGGGTCTGGTCCATATCCGTTCTGTTTAACGAAGGCCAGCATTCTTCGGTTATCACCAAACAATGCCGAACCTCAATACTGGGAGCAGACAGGTTTTTGCACCAAATCGACACATTCCCTGCATCACGAGTGTCTTGCATATGATACAAATGTCTTCTGAGACGTACAAACTCTGCTTCAACAAAGGCATCGCATCCGAGTTGCCAGCACTGATTCGGAACACTCACTGCACAAGAGGCCGAGCTATGACTCGCCGGGCGGGTCACGTCGGTCCCAGCAGGGGCGGAGATCACGTCAGTCCATCTGGGTCGTCACCGCGCCACCGTCTGCTTCCTAAACTCGTTGAACTTCTCCAGGTACATCTGGATGGTATCGGTGGGGCTGAACGTGGCGTTCTGTCGGCTCTGTGGACAGGCAGAAACATGAACTCAACAGGCGCGACGTGACTGTATATGGTCAAAATGGCGACGATTAGTTCCAACACGGCAAAAATCAGCATCAATCACTCGTGCCACATTTCTGAACGGGTGACGCAGTGGCCCGTAGGGACACTAACCAGGAAATCAAACACAAAATGGAATACATATACAAACAGCGCTGCCGATCTAGGCTGACAAGCATAAACACATACAGCTGCTATCGCGAGAGCCAAGTATCCCCGTGAGATTATCTTAACTGGATTTCAAACAGTACAGCCCAGTTCAGGGGTGGTTTGGGATCTATGAATTACCAACACTAAACGATTCACTGGAAGCAATAATTCCAAGGAGATCCGAAACATCAAAGCGTATACAATGCACAACTTGGCCACCACCACGGCAGTGCAGCGGCTGAACAACGAATTGCGCATGGGTGGACGCGCAGCAATGCGAGTCAGTTGGCCCACAGAGCTCGAAGGTATTCTCCGGGACCGTCTGACATATGGTTTCTGCTGTGGTGATTTGTGGTCTCTGGTGAACAGCTGTCAGCCAAGCCGACCATATTGGGCGCGGAAACTGATGGCTAGTCTCATTTCAGTCTCGATAAGAACCATGTCGCTTAATAGTCGCATTTTTCATGACATGAAACGTAGAAAAACATCTGCTGCAACGAGACAAATCGCCTCGCAACAAAACAGATAGCAAACAGCGAGCGAATAAATATGTAGGGGAGACCCGGGAGGTATGGGCCCCCTGGAGGTATGGGCCATCGCAGTTTTGAAGAAGTGTTGCGTATTTTTACACATTTGACGGCGTTAACTGGTAGCAGCCATTTCGTTATACATCCCACGTGATTTTCAAAGCCTTCCTCAGTCTTCTTTGGCAATGAGCGGTGATAAAGCGTTTTTGTCCTCTTCGAGTAAAATACGGTACATACAGAAAATTCGTGATAAATTTGAACCAGGCTCGTTTTATGATGTCAGACCTTCGCTTATATAAAGTTTAAAGCATGCAAATTAAGACTGGATCGACAATATGAAGCTTTCTTGCAAGATTATGAGCTGAGATGCTACACACATTATGGCGTCCTAACCGGGAGGTTCGGGCCACCCACCCCCCGGTGATCCTAAATGAATAAAAAGATGCTTTCATTGAATGTCCTCGTCAATAAGTTTTATTTTTGTCGCGCAAGGTCGACAATTTAACTACAAATTTGATTCGAACAGAAAAATATTATTGATCTTAGTTCATGGTGCATGATTGTGTTTACCAAAATACATATGGGCCCAAGAGGCCTCCATGAAGCAAGCTGTTGGCCGCTTATGCGGTTCCTGGGCTCTAAGAGAGATCAAGGTATTATATCAAGGTACCAGCTACGAGTATTATTCTTATTGTCGAGAAAAGAATATGAAACATGGCACCGGCCCATACCTCCCGGGCCATGGCCCATACCTCCCGGTGTATTTTGATGGATCGAAAAAGCACATGATTTATTGAAAGTTATCTCGAGACAAAATAGTTGATCCCAGATGCCTAATATCAGGCACACGTTGCAGGCGAAAGGCAATTCCACGTACACAGAGTGAAAAACCGAGTCTAGCCACAGCCCACTGGAAGAAAATTGCCTTTTCACAAAACCGGCCCATACCTCCCGGGTCTCCCCTAATTGAATAATGCGGCGACGAGAAAGTGCATTCCTCTGTTTCATTGCTCTGATGACGAATTCTCCTGCACTTCCACGGGACGGGTACGAATTTATGACTCAGGTAGGCTGCCAATGAATGAGTTTGGAATACCAGACAACCAAATACCACAGAGCACACTGCATTATGAAATGATTGCAACGATGCAATGTCTCGCGTAAGTTAAATGCATCTGACAGAATAAGACACGAACGACAACACCTAACAAAACCTCCGAACATTTAGATAATAAAAACAACATTGTGACATTTTGATAACGAATGCCGTTAAAATCAAACCCATCCATTATTAAAAGTGTTTGTCGGCTCATCAGAGAACAAAAGCAGCCGCAAAAGATCAACCGGCGATTAGATGGCCATCGAACAAGACCCAAATGTTTTGACATGTTTGCTCTAAACGTCATACCGATGATAAATTATTGGTGCTGTGCGGGTTGGTATTCGTGGAGAGCAAGGCTTCCACACACTGAACAGGGCTTCAGCGAACACCGCTTGGAAACAGGAATGGTGGGCGTTGTCACCCGTTTTCACCGAATTCCACCGCAAAGACACCAGTGACAATTAAATTTTATTAAAAGAACGCCTGGGCCCTGGGTGTGACCAACTGCCAGGTCCAGGGCGCTCTGGTGCGCGTATGGTTTTTAAACTTCACACTTTTTTGCTGTGTATAGTGTACACTGTAGGCCATTCTCAGACTATGATAGCAAGAGTTCCTTAAAGCGGACGCCAAAAGACCAAAGCGTCATGTCGGCGATAAACGATCTAGGTTTCAACGTTTCTCTTGCAGTCAATCGTAAATTATTCCAAATACACGAACTAAACCGGGCCGGAATTCATAAAACTAAATATAAAAAACATTCATCTAAAAACTTTTTGTACCACTATAGGCTGCAGCCCCTCCCGTGACCTACAGTGAGCCCGACACTGACCACAGCCGCCGGGCCCATCCGGCCGTGAGTCACCGTCCGGCGACACATTCCTCCTGACCATCAGAGAACATACACAGAGCGGTGGAGCGGGCCATGATCCGACCCAGGGCGGCCGGCGCGCGGGCGCAGCAGACCGCCGCCGGACGCTCGACTGCCGCCCGGTCCCGCGGCGCGCGACACGCCTCCAGACGGCCGCCGCTTCCGGTCAGAGTTCGGGCCGGGATCTGTCCGCCGCCACCACTGCCAGACGGGCGGACGGGTGGATGGATGGCCGCCCACTTGGACAAAACATCGACAGAGTAGCAGAACCGCAGCCGAATCGCCGCTGTGAGAGCGTAAACTTGAATAGCGCACGGCGTGTTGAAATAAGGCCGTGGGTCGACCGGCCGGCCCTGGCAACTGTCTGATCTGAGGACACCACCCATCATACCCCCCCCCCCGCCTCCCTCCACGGTGGCGCTGAGACACGGCGACGGTGAGACACGGTGATGAGACACGGCTATGAGGCATGACTCCACGTAGAGCGGGCGTTTCTCTGCGAGTGAAGCTCGGCGGCGGCGGCGGCCGCGGTGACGAGGTGATGTCAGCCCGTGTCACCCGCCCGTGACCCGGGGGCTGCGCTGTCGTCAGGAATAGTCTGCCGCCGACCGCCGCGCCGCCAGCCACAAACAAACACACCTAACTCAGAGGGTAGGGTGACCACCGCAGACAGCCCGGATATCTTTCATGAAGCGGACCTCCGGTGGAGCGGCCGAGAGTCCAGAAAGAAAGAGGACACTGGACAGTGAACAGTGTACCGACTTTCTCCCGACCACTCGTGAGTCGACACACGCTCAACAATCATCCAAACTGGTACTTCAAAACTCGACTATCCATAGCAGAGAGTACTTCAAGTTTGAGAGTTCCCATTCAACAAGTGTTCTTCCACTAGAGACCCATTGTCGTCAAAGAGGCGTGGCCGGACGCTGTCACTGTCGGCGGGACAGAGGAGACAGGCGGCACGCGCGACAGACGAGAGCAGTGGCCACGCCACGAGGGGCGGACAGGCTGGCCACCTCCTGCCAACGCCCGCTCACTCGAGCGTTACCTGAGGGCCGCCTTTTTCGTCCCACTCCTGGCACACGGGCCGACTCGTATGAGTGTCGCGTGGCTGGCGCAAGGCAAGAGTGACCACTGACCAGTAAAGCCACCTGACTACATGAGGAGGGGCGACTGCAGTGAGTCACGGGTGATGACGGGATCCGCCGCGGCCTCCACCGCTGCGCTGGCGACTGACTGCCGAGTCGGATCATTAGTAAAACTGGGAGCCGACGCATTCCCGGCGGACCTCCCAGTCACCCGTCGCGGCTCGCGCGGCGCCGACAACCAATGACCTGTCCCGCTGCGCTGGCGAGACGCCTCACCCGACTCCGGGAAACGACCAAAAATACGCCCCCGGCAGACAGCGACCGTCCATCGTCGAGTACCTCTGTCGCCCGAGCGGCGGACAACACCATCGGCAGACAGTATATTACAGTCGAAAGGTCATACGCCATGCGCATCACTAATTGGGTGTTGTGTTTCCAAAACAGCCCTAAACGAGAAGGCAATGCTGGCTAATGAACGACGATCTTGGAGGCCAGACGCGCTCCGACCGGCGCCTTCGAGTCGCCGAGCGCACACCTGCTGTGCGGCGTACTCACAATCAGTGGCCGTATCGGCGCCTCATTAGAGATAGTGCCGCTGCGACGCGACCAACGGGCTGAGAGTCGCGGATAAACTAGGCTGAGAGTCGAGGATAAACTAGATGAGAGGAGTGGTTCTAGAAACCAGAAGCCGGGCGCGGCCCAAGCGGTAAAACCGTGTCGGTTTGAGTCGTCAACCAAGCGCCGGTTGGATTCGGTTAGTACGGTGCCCTGCGCGGCCGTCATGGGCGCAGCCATCCGTGAGAGGTCACTTAGGGCCATCTTCAGGCCGTGAGGGTCAAAGAATTGAGGCATGGTGACACGGTGGTGACATAAGCCCGCACATAAACGCACCCAACGGTGTTAGCTGACACTGGACAGTTTTGTAGCAGCAGCACTGAAATGTGTTAGGTGACACTGATGACATTGTCTGGCGACAGTGAGCTAAGTACCGTCTGGTGACACTAACATGTGCCATAGTTGCCCGATGAGTGGTGGCGCTTGTCAATAAATATCGCACCCTAGCTTGACTGGACAGATACACTTTCGTTCGGCGTCACTGGATTACTCATTGCACAGCACTGACACCATCACTTAGCAACAACGAACTTCAACCTCCCTCAGCAGTTCTGACGAACGTGTTCAGACACACAAACGTCAGTCAACTATCCGTCACCCAACCGACAACCATCCGTCAACCGCCTGACAACCGCCCGACAACCATCCATCCACCCTCCACACCGCCGCCCGTCCACCGGTATGCGACGATCCCCCGTCGCTAAGCAATGTCCGTTGGGTCCGATGGGCGGCGGCAAGATTGGCATGTGCAGTGTTTATCATCGATCCTCCTACTGAGCTGATGTTTGTTACCGGCACGATCAGACTGGACACTAGCCGGCGTTGATGGATCACTAACCGGTGCAGTTAGATCAGCTACAGCCAGCTGACGCAAATGATGACGCGTCCGGGGCAAATGCAGCCCCTGCGAGCCGCAATAATGAGCCCAGAGCGCCAAAATCCGGCCGTGATTGACCATCGAGACGAGCCAAATGGAACGCGAACTGACTGCTGCGTGGATTTGGTGATTAATGATAAATGCCCGGTCGGCGACAAGACCGATTAAGAGCGACGAGCGATTTAGGGCTGTTTGAAAAAACAACAACATTTGCACGAGGATTTGTAAAATATTTGTTAGGTCGTTATTTACGCCGCATATTATGCACATGAGACAATTAATTTGGCAAGGTACAGGTCTCGCGAGATTAAAGGAAGGGTGCCACCTTCCGAAATTTTTGTTCTATGAATCTATTTTACTTATTTGAATTTTTAGACGTGGTTAGCGCGTCCACAATATACAAAAAACCGAAACATTGCATTTAATACATTGGCCAAAAAAAAAGATCGTTGTTTATATCACCACTACAACTCAAGGTCGTTTGATGTGGCAGCTAGGACGGCTGGCATATCCTGTTGTCATGGCAACATATCATTCTGCCATTTGCATTGATGGCGCAACTGAGACAAAAAGATGAACAAATAAAAAGGAAGAAGATAACATGATTTGAACTAAGTTGTAGGTAACCAAGTAGGTAACTGTTGGCCATATTTGCCAACAGTTAAAGAACATCAAATAAGTCGAGTAAAGGTTTTTCCTTTACAATGCTTAAGAGATCTATGGAACCCTTCACCCTTCATGCAACTTACTAGAAAAACTTCCCAATTAAAATTTTAAAACTTAAGTGTATACCATAAAGAAAAAATATACCCTTTCAAAATGATAAAACATGCTTCAAAAGTATAACTTTTATACATACCTTTGCTGATTTCATGTTTTATAAAATACCCTTAACACGACGAGGAAATAGTGCTGAAGATTTTTGCCTGCCCGAATGCTGGCAGCAAAACTCGCAAATGATAACTTCACGTGCGGATTCAATGCTGACCGTCTCGAGCATAGGTAAGTGAAGCCGGTTTTTAGGTTCATGTGAGGCTAATCTTGTAAAAACTGCGTTGTGTCCAAAAGGTGGCACCCTTCCTTTAAGCGGTAGGTTTTGCACTTTTACATTTCCGGTTATATCTCAGAAACTAATCGATCTACGATGAAGCCATTTTACACGATCATGGCCGGCTTGTTACCCAACAAGTCGATCGCATCTTCAACACTTAAAAGCTTAAGACGACGAAGATATAGCCTGAAGTACACTAAATTTTCTAGGTGCAAAACCTACCGCTAAAACCCGCGAGACCTGTACTTGGGATAATTTGTCTTGCTTAGGGCAATGGTTCAGTAAATAACTAAATAAAGAATGCAGGGGACTGACAAACAGACACACTAAATACGTATACTTAGATCTCGAAAATGCCACGTCAAGCAAAATGAAAGGATTTAACCCTCTAGTGCCCCCGGTATCATGTCTGTAAGTCAATTTGCAGAAAATTCGCCTGCTAATCATAGAGGTGAAAATTGTTGAAAACCCTGCTGTATCAGAAGTGGTACGTCTTGGCAACCACCTGGTGGCAAAATTTTTAAGTAATGATTTATCAGTTTCCCACCAGGTGATTTTGAAGAGGGTCAGTTTGTCCTTTGCCGAAAATCAATTTGAGATTCAAGTGTAAATTTAAGCATTTAGAAAACAAAAAATTATTTATTTGGAAAGAAACTTGGTATACTGTGAGACAAATGTTCAACATATATCATAGTATGTTGCAAAACATCGCAACTTTTTCAGGGTCAAAGATATGGACCCCTATTTTTGGGGATACTAGATATGATACAGTGGGCATAGCACTCCAATATTTTCTATGAAATTTTCGCCGCTGCAACATACGGTGTGCCAATACCATAGTTTTCTCAGGTGATAAGCATTGCAATGGCCTGTGAGTCATTGCAAATGACGATGGTACAAGATGCATAAATTTGTGAAGTTCGCACCTCTTGCGCCAGATCACTCTATTTCGCTCCAGACTTAAAATGTCATAACGATTTGGTACGCTTATGCCGCCTCTCATCCTTGTCAATCTTCTAACATCTAGCTTTCTATGAGTGGCCTTACATGCCTCATACATCTCGACTTTTCTAACGCTCATAGGAATATGGTTTTGCAACTGTTTGACGATGACAATAGTGAACTTTTTGATCAGCAGGACACTAGCAGACCATATCTTCTAAAACCACGTTAGGAATGACATGCTATCGATGACAAGCTTGTTGATTTCAAGGAACGATCATCCGTGCGAGCATTTATACTCGTGAAACCAAAAATTGAGACTTGATGTTAGGGACAGGAGGATTCAGCGGTCTCTTGCACAATTTCGATATTCTAACAGGGGTTGTGGACGGGCTTATTTATGTCTTGTGGGTCTATGTGTTAGCTGGGCATGGCTGAAGACTTGCATTAGCAGCCAGCCAGCATTTTTCATTCATATTGGAGAACGACTCACAATTTGTTTGCGATTCAAATCTCCGTTCATCCCAGTAGTAAGAGATTGAATGTGGAGTGGAAAACTATATCGTCATCTTCAGAGGAAGCTGGCTAAACGGGCTCGCCATGAAGACAGACTCCGGACCGAAGGGCGTGGTTCCTTTGATTTCCTTTCTAAGAAGTAGGCAACCATGCACTGCTGCCAGGTTCCAGCAGGTGCCTGACACCTGGCAAGCATTTTCACTGCCAGGTATGTTATTTGTCATATATTGACATATACCGCCAACTGTGGTAGCTGAGTGCCACTGAACAAAAAGGATTTATAGGTACTAAAACATGGATTCTACTTTTGTACTGACCATAAGAATAAAAGTTAAAGTGCGGCATTGCGTAATGCGTATGCTTACCTCCATATGAGGGCAATGAATATTGTGCAAGTTCCTGCCGATCGGTGCACAGTTACCTGTACCTTTGTTGTCTGACACGTACAACGGTTATTGCACTGGTCAGTGCGCGGCTGTTTACTGACGCCGATGACATCAGGACCGCACGACCAGTCAAAGTACTAACTGACGATCAGGCTGAGAGTTTCAGTCACCCGAGATTGTCCGGCTATCATGAAGATAAACCAACATCGTCTTTGGCATTGATTCCGGTCCGTCGGCAGGCTGTCCAGCATTTTGCATCAGAACTGCTTCACTTCAACCTGCACTTACCGCGAGCCAACTGTAATGTCTTCATTTCTATATCAAGCATGCATAACGCATCTACGTTTGAGAAGCATGGCCCACATGTCTGAATTATGAAAAAATTGCAAAGTGCAACGCGCTGTATCGTGGAAATTGAAGGAATAGAAGGCACTCGTAAATAGATGCCTATGATAAGCGTTGTTCCCTAAGCACCGACTGAAAGGGCATTTTTATACAAGAAGGCTGCCAATGAAATATTAAGAAAATGTTCTGATAAAAAGTGCACCGTAAAGTATGCCTTGTTGGCATTTTACACATTTTAACTGCCACTTTTATCACTGAAATTTTTAATAATATATATTTTCTCATCTATGTCTTCACTTCCTTCTGTGTGGTCTGATACCACTAAAAAATTACCAAGTGGAATGCCCAATGTATCATATTTGATACAAAATTTATTTCCGAAATTTGAACTGCGAAAAAATATTTGACTCCAGATTTCGAACAAGGGACCCAAAGTGAATCATATGTCACAAGGTACTAATTTTAGGGACCGTGGAACTATGTGTGGGCATTAGAGGGTTAAGAATAATCATGTAACTTATAAATATTTTGCCTAGGTACTTAAAAACGCTATGCGCTGCGTTAGCTATTATAGAATATTTTTTTCTTATTGAGAATTACGCCTGAGAAAAAAAAAAGTTTAATACCCTTCCACTGTCAGTGACCTTTTCATGATACGGAAAGTCCAATGCGTAGGTGGCAACGGAAAACTACGTACTGACAACACATAAACAAACCTCGTAATCACACCTCTAAACGAGCTGATCATACGGAGCGACGGCGGCCCGTCTCACGGACAGACCTAATTGGCCCAAAAGCTGCCGTCAATTACACCCAGCTCCATGTAAACAGACGGCTTACACACGTGGTGGTATCTGATACTGGTGTCTGCAGCGTGTCAGCGGCAAAGGGAGCCGATTTAACCGGCCTGGGTCATGTGGGTGCCGACACTGGCGGTGACGAGCGTCACAGGCTCGAGCTCGTGGGTCGAACGGCGACGCTATGGCCAGCTGCAAGAGTAGCTACTAGCTAGTGGGTGGGAGATGGGGTGTGCGCTTACCTGAATGTAGGGAGGCAGTGTGGAGGGCACTGTGCTGCCCAGGAACGACTGCATGAACTCCCAGACCATTTCCCAGCAGAGGGCGGGCACCACGCAGGCCAGGTAACACACCTGAGGGTGATGGGCGGGCGTTAGATATCGAGATGGTGACTGAATGATGATGAGAAGTGTGCCTTTGATGGAAGAAAAGGCAGACTGGAAGGCAAGACACAGCGGAAGACATGTGCGACAAAGCGCTCTTACCAGGTCAGGTCACTTCTCGTAAGAACAAACACGGGATATCGTACCGTATTGTTGAATTCGCTAGCATCGCACGCAGCCCATAAAGTAAAACATAAAAAGTAGACGCGACGCTTGTCTAAAAAAAGTCTAAACCTGCATCGTTACTCCACCAAACATCCATCCGCCCTCACCTCAACTAGGATGCCCTTGAAGCTGCCGGACATGGTAACACTACCCAACTTGACCACAAAGTCGCCCATCTCGTATCGATTTCCCTTGGACTCGATACGCGTCTGCTTCTTGTTGGATGTGTAGAGGACGGCCATTTTGGGCAGCAGCGCGTCCAGCAGGGTGTCTGCCACCAGCACCGGCTGCTTGGCGCCGCCCTCGAGGATGGCGAACACGCTGGCTGGTTCCTCCGTGTTGTGTAGCACGTTCAGGACTCGCTGAGAGTTGCCCGGCACTGCAACGCAGGGAGGAAGGCGTCAGGAGGGTAGTGAGATGTTGAGGGTGAGATTGTGTGAGGGCGGATGAAGCAGGGAGGTTTTTGGAGTGTGGGGAAGAGCGTCAAAGAATGTGTGAGGTGGCTTATGATAGGGGCGATGGGTGTTATTGCAGACTCGACGCAAGCATGCTGTGGTAAGGACACTACGTAGTCGAATGTAGCCAGAGCAAGGATGAGAAGAGGATGACAGTACTGAAAAAATTAACTTGAAAAAAAAAACATTACGAAGACTACGGGACATGACCTCTGCGGACCAATTATAAATAGTTTGCCTTGTATGGTGCATGGATGGAAATTTTCATTCGATTATTCATTTTAGCGTTTAACCTCAATATCTCAGCCCCGCTTGGAGCGGACGGTGCGCTGACATGGTAGGGGCCAAGACACTAGACAGTAGAGTTGCAAAATTTCCCTACCGCACTACCGGCATGCCGGTAATTTTTCACTACCGCAGGCTTATTTGTGGTATCTGGCATGTCTTGCCGGTAGCATGCCGGTATTTTTGATTTTGTGCAAAAAGAAAATTATCAGCAAATGTCCTGTCCAGTCTTCAAAAACACATTTCAGTAATTCAAGTCCTTTTCATCCTCACCTTTTTGATGAATGTAATAGTTTTTTGTAGGCAATACTTCTTTGATTACAGGTGATATTTTAACAGTTATAGACTGGAATTGAGTTTCAAAGTTGTGGGTATTTGTGGGGCCAACTCAGCCAAAATCAGCCTGCTTGTATTTGTGGTTGGACAATGGATGGCTGTTGGGTGGAGGGGTACTGAAACTGCCAAAATGTGGCATCTCTTGCAGGGGTAAGCTAGAATCAAGAATGTAGGTTTTTTAGTATGCCGGTAATTTGGCGGTTTTTTTTGCTTGGGGCGTGGTAGCATGCCGGTATCCCAGAAAATTTTTATGGGGCGGGGCGGTGCCGGTAGCAGCCTTTGGGGAAAACTTTGCAACTCTACTAGACAGACTCTGAGACAATCCATATCATATCGACTTAGACACTAGACAGACTCCAATAAAGTTGTAGCTACCAGCCGGATCCATTGCGACAATCTGTTCCAGGCCAAACCGGATCGAATCGATACAGGATAATATTGCGAATAAATAAACAGCGGAGGAAACAGAGACCATTCAGAGATTGTGGGAGCGGGCAGGACTGCTGGTAGAACTCTAAGCTAAGTAACCAGGAAGCGGAGCATCGCTTCGTGATCAGCTACCGCCAAAGATACTACTGCACACAGTGCACGGCTTACAGTCAGTTTCACTGTCAGACGTCAGTCAGTTTTAGCAACAGCTTAGACCCAGCTTCACAGTCGTCAGTTTTAGCAAATACCTAAACTGTTTGTTTGCCACAGTTCAAAGCCGCACGCTGTAGAGATTCGGTGCGATACAAACGGATGTCTATTCAGCATCACGCACCATCGACCGAAAAATCGGCTCGCTGCGGTCTCCAAAGGCCAAAATAGTGACCGCTCTGCACTGCGGCCTTGGCTCCACAATGTGCTAGAGTCGAGAGCGGCGTGTATCGCCGAGGTTGGCGCCGCGGGTTCGTTTACGGCGCTGGGATCAAGGCGGCGAGGTCCGGCCGGTTGTCTCGGCGCCGTCATCCCCAGTCGACCCTGCACCCGTGAGCGGCTCCAGACGCCCTGTTTTGCGAGCAGGTCGGCCCAAGCTGCGTTTAAACAAATATCTGTGCCCGGCAATAATACCAATTATGAGCGTTTGACGTCAAATACCGCTTCCGGTTGGCAAGGCCCAGTGCTGATTAGAAAACTGCTGAGATGAGCAACAGAGGAAAGGATTAAATTGGTAGATTGCATCAGACAGACCGGTTTCGGACAGTTTATTTAAAGCGAGATCTGGCATTCATGACCAGTCAATTCGGAGAAGGGCAGACGTTCAGAATGGCTTATTGCAATAATGGCATTGACAGCAACACGACACACCGTTCCTTACATCCCATTCAAGGAAAACGTGGGCCTCGTGATCACAATCGATAAAAACATACGTTGAGCTTTTCAACCACCGTTCACATAATATGTGAGCGACCTGGATTGCCGCCACAAGAGCTGAAAACACGTCTTTTCGAATCGTGCGAATCTTCAAGTGCAAACACGAGTTGGGACTGACGGTAGATACACCCAAACATGCTAATCAAACGGAATAATTTCAGCATCTCATCGCTGAAATCAAGTATAGGTAGGGAAATTACCTTCCAGGCAATGATGGGTACCATTCTGATTGTAAAAAGTAAGCACCGAATTCAAGTAGGATATCATCCTCCGTTGTTTTGTACTAATAAAGTCTTCTTAATGCTGTTGTAGTGTGTACGTATGCCTACCAAACACTACATCCGCTGTAACACAGACCACAATCAACGCTCCATTGCAATATAAACCATTTACCATCCTACACACAATGCTAAGGGTCATGGCCGGCAGTAGCGTTCGACGGCCATGCATGGCGTCACTGATGATCAGTGACAAAGTGAGAGTGATCAATGACTCCAGAACAAAGGAGAATTGTCACTTCTGGCCACCGGTTAGCAGCTCTGCGATTGCTATCGAAGCTGTTGGCTGATAAGTTGTCACGGACGGCTGGACGTGGCGAGTGGGTGAGCCACCATATTGGGAGGTCACGCGTCGCCAAAACGCTGCTCACAGACCAACGTGCAGGCCCGGGCTACAGTGATCGATCGATCGCCGGATGCTTCAAATTCAATGAATAACAAAATGGATACGCATGGCTGTTTTTTCTAAAGAAGATTAGTGCTTTGAAATAAAAACATTAATAAAGTCAGCTTATACTTATACTATACGTACAGCTCATAAAATAGCAATGAAAATCCACGGCCAGTCAGTAAAATATGTCTGATTTGCATAGAGTCATAATTCCATCACCCGGAAGTCGTGGCCAGTTGGCTGTGTTCTTGGACACATTGGGACTGCAAGACAAATTGTTAGGGCACTGACATGTAAACGTTTTAGCAGCTTAGGAAATAAGAACTATGGTGGCTATAGATTCGTGGGATGTTTTTGCCACTCTTCAGCTTATCTTTACTATCAAATTAGGATAGTACCTAATTTGTAGTATGACTGAATCGCTCCAAAATTTACAAAAAAACAAGAGAGCTTTAACAAACAGCGTCGCCATTCCCTCCTGTTTTGTGTTACCCTAATCCAAAAAGGTCATTGACACGGTAGGTACATACTTCAGCACGCGCCTCACGAATGTCCATTATCTGTCGCTCAAAAACACCGATAGTCTCCAAACATATCATGAGCAGACACAGCTAGCTAAAGGGCTTGTGGCTATAAGTAAGAGCTCGACGCCGGTGGGCGAACAGTAGCAACCAAAACCCTCCAATCCCGAAAACTGGTTTCCAGCCGCGAACACATATTCGGCCCATGTCGTCAGCATGCAGACATGCTGAAAATGTGCACATTTACGTATCCTAGCCCGAGGCAGCACTTGCGCCATCGCTTCATGGAACATGTTGACAATCCGCTTGTATCAGAGCCCGAGTTCATACCCTGTCATTCTATCCCAGCTGGACCAGAGCACTACATCACGGTAAATATGCGGCGAGCAACGCCCTGTTGATAAGAAAAATAAACGGACGCAGAAATGCGGACAAGGTAAAATGTTGGTGTCTCTTAAAATAAAACCGCTTTTATGGCTCGAGTCGGTGCTTTTGTATAAGCCAAAGAATTCATCTTTTTACTAGCAAAGCAAAAACTGGCCAAAAACTCCATTTAAAACCGCCAGATCACACCAGACAGCTAAAAGACTGGCACGAACTGCTCGCGAGTAAGCATCTCTTATGTGAAGAGCCGCGAGTTCCTTTCATCGCCAAACACCATCAGCGTTACGGCACCTCGGAAAAACCTCCCGAGAACACAGGGTTTCTTTGTAAGCCGCCAATCCGGCGGAAAACTGAGCGCAAGGCCATTGGGCGGCTTTGTCCAAGCACGTGCCGTCAAAACAGGGTGACAAAAACGGCCGATCGCCTAAAGTCGGCCCGATGAAGCGGTATCACGCAGGCTGTCCCCAAACACCGGGCGCTTGAGGACGACAGAGAGTGGGTGGACAACGTGCCGTTGGGACTGCCGCAGCTCACGGTGACGTCACACCGGCTGGACGTGACGTTACAGAATAAGACGTGACGTCCGGGCGGCAGATGAAAATAGCATTGCCATCGCGACATCTTGTAGTAAACCAGTGGATGGATATGCTCTCGCAAGTCGCATTTTTACTGCGATTATAAAATCAGTCACAAGAATAAATTAACCCGCGCCCTGCTGGGGGGGGGGGGGGGTGTTTGAACACCCCCCTTGTGGTTTTTCGCGAATTTCTCCGCGCCGCCGTTTTTGGTACACCTTATCATACATCAATTCTACACATGTTGTGAAAATTTCAGACCAAGGTCATTCAAGGTCAGGTCACCAGGTCACTTGAAGTGACCTCACCTCATAAAAAGTTTCAATGTCTGTCATAGCTACACCGAGTGACCGATCGCTTTGAAACTTTCAGCGATTGCTAAGAGCAATAGCATGTACAAAATGTATCTCTCAGAATTTTGATATCGATGACCTAAGTTCAGGTCAATTTTGCGACCTCCCCATTATAAGTCAATGGGAGAAAATTGAAATGCGCCTCTTTTGGACGAAAGACATTATAAACACTCCCAAACACCGAATTACAAGTGGTTTAGACACACTGAGCATGAAAATGGTGTCCGTGACCCTTGTTTATGCCCTGAGGTCATCTTAGGTCACGAATGGTATCTAACAGTTTTTCGCAAATAACTTTTGATAGAGGCATGCTAAAGCGATGAAAACGCCTTAGATGTGTTCAGCTAGACGTACGGATCGACTGATTTGCAACATGACCCTTTCCGGTCAGGTCATGACCTTGACCTGAGGTCAAATTTTCAAGTTGACCTTTCAAGGTCAAGTTAAAGTTCATTCGATGCGTCTTGACGAGAGGAACACGATGCTGGTAAAAGTAAGCTCGTACAAGGCTTGGGTCAAAAGTTATTGCAGAAAAACTGTTTGCGAAAAAAAATCGGCTATTTTTGCAGTTTTTGCCCCCTGCAGGCAAAACCGTTGACGGTAGGTCAAATCTGAGAGAATTACTCAGAAAGGGCGTTAATAGGGCTATCGAATGCGCTTTTCCGCGGCGCTGTAGCTCTATTGGTTCCCGAGTTATGCGTTGGCTTCTTCGAAATTTTCGACATTCGACCTGGAAATCGGCGAAATTTTGCCTTCAATGACCTCTGGTGACCTGACCTTTGACCTGAGCAAAAAATTGACCGAAGTGATTTCGTCATTATTTTTGACGCTCTTTCGAACGCCGCCTTCCGCGTATCGCTACGTGGCCCAGGAGCCGAGTTACAATTGGGGGTGTTCAAACACCCCCCCCCCCCCCCCCCCCAGCAGGGCGTGGAAATCCAGGACGTCCAAATCTCACCAAATCTCAATCTCCAAATCTCTCCAAATCTCAAAACTAATAGCTGGGCGCGGGTTAAGCACTTCCGATTTCTCCAAGCGACTATCCAAATTTCACTGCACATGCTAGTAAACGGTAACACGGCCAACAATGGAAAGGAGCTCGCTAAAGTCTCTCAAAGGTCCCCGTCCTTGCTGCGTAACCCAGTTGGCGCTGCGACAGAATCCATCGACCCTGCTGCGTGTGGTAATCTATGGCCCCGAGGCGCGTTCATCCCAGCCGCCTCTCAATGAGATTGTGCGGGGGGACGGAGAACGGGCGGGGGGGGGGGGGGGGAGAAATGGGTGGAGATGGGCTAACAGAGAGTGATGTCGTCGTACCCCGAGGGCGTGAGATTTGGAGGAAAATGAGAGGCTTTGGCCAAGGCCGATGGGCAAGACAGATAGGAGAGAGATAATAGCTAGATGGATGTTAATGGACGAATAAAAGACAATGTCTGAAAATATCTGGTGACCAGAGGAACAAGCCATGGGCGGCGGAACGGGGAGGGCACCGGGGCACCGTGCCCCCCTTTGATTTTGGCATTTCAACATTAGCCCTATGGGCGTGGCATGGAAAGAATGGGACCAAAAGTCGGCAGTGACCCCCCCCCCCCCTTAATTGAGTGTGTTCCGCCGCTACTGGAACAAGCCAAAACATATTGAGCAGCAAGACCACAATCATCGAGCTTGCACTGTGCATATTTACCTCCTAATACCAACCACACTCCTCCAAAAACAGTACCCACAACGACTGATCTATGGTGGTAACATTTTAGCCATGGAACATCTTGTCAGATGAAAACCAGCGGGTGCTGCCATCATTCTAAACGGTGGTAACACTGAATGATTTCCGGAAAAAATACGCTTCACAAAAGAACGTAGGAGAAAAGTACGTACGCAAATAGTCGCACGCAAAAATTCGTAGGCGATAGAGTGCTTAACGACAAAAATACGTATCGCTGGAAAAACACCATCTAACGTGAACTGACCTAGCCTGACCTAACCCCAGGCCCAAACAAGCCTAACTAACCTAACCTAGTCCAACCAACCTAGCCCAATCGAACCCAGCCTAACCTAACTTAATCAAGTTAATCTATACTTGTGTCCATTCGACTTTATACCTTACGCCATAGACCACCATATAATATATATCCCACTATTACTATCACTAATGTGCTTACCCACATTAGCGATACGTATTTTTCCTACGCTCTTTTGCTGACATATAGTACATCTGCCACACGTACTTTTGAGATACGTACTTTTGCTCGCAGCGCAGCACAAATTAGATTTTATGCACGATGGGACATTCAGTCGGATGAAGACCATCACGTGCTGCCATCTACAACTCTGTCTCTGTAGCCCACCACCAGCTGTCGCTAGAGATTACGAAAGCCGTAGGCTTCCGTTACCGAAACCCCTAACCACTCCAAAGCAAAGCATTCCGGAGAGAATGTCCTCTAGCAGGCCACAGCTACCATACGCACTTGTACACATGCAGGCTGTACTTACACAGCGACGGGGCGGAGAAGTAGGTCTCGCAGTCGACCACGAACTGGCCCGAGACGCGCGCGCCCAGCGCCGTGATCCTCTTGTGGAGCACATCCAGCGTCTGGGGCCCCGTGAGACCCTCGATCAGGGGAAACGTCTGCAGCCTGTGGATGGAAGGATGGGCGCATTAGCGATCCATAAGCTGAGGCATTAGCATAGAGTCTTACATGCTCCTTTTATGCCTGTGGATGAAGTGGGCCTACTGAGATGGATGGTTATTGGTTAATACTGCACATTTTGACAAGTGGGGTATGTGAAAGGTTGGTTCTGGCAGTGCCAAAATGAGGTGAATGAAAATTCTATTTATGAATGTTTTTATCAGCTCCTGTCGTCATTTGTACATCCTTGAATCTGGGATATGATAAAACAGTCACTCTTTTCTTGATTTCTTGCATCTATACCATGTTCCTGTGATAGCAAAAAATCCATTGCTTTGAATTTTAAACAGCGAGCAAACATACCAGAATTGACTGTCTGCCAATCAGGCAATATTAATTCTTCTTCACATGTTTGCACTTTGCAGTCTCTTTTGGCACAAGATACAGTTCTGAATCCTAATTATGGGCGAGAGACAGCAATTTCATAAGCTACCACACAAAGGTATTTTTCAAGCAGTCAGTACCTACCATAGACATATTCAATGTAAATATTTTGGGAATGGTATATTGTGTTGGCTAATGATCTCCTTAACTGAGAGCATGAGAGCTGAATTTAAGATTTTGGAAATAATATGTTACCAAATACCAAGGTGGTGAATGATGAGAATACGAGATAAACCTTGAGGCCACAGCAACGTGACAGTATTTAAATGAGACAAAGCAAAAGTTGAGAAGCTTATGGGGTGTTCCGTTCCATGCTATTATATCCATCTTGTACCAATAATCGAATGGGCAATACTTTGAGAATGGGCACTAACGCACCCATAAATTGAGCTTAAACATGAGCAACAACAGAAAACATGTTTGACTTTCACAATAGCACTTCCCTTAAATACTAGCAAACTCTAGAAAAACATCATTATGATATAATTAAATTAGAGCACAGACAATAAAACCATTTAGCTCACATGGATACAAAATATTAAGAATTCCCTCCTCATAGAGAAAATTGAAAAAGAAAGGAACATTACCTAACACCGCTCGATGCTATACTATGCTAAGTAATGTTGATGTATAAACGTAAAAATACTTACGTGGAAAATCCCATTATGATCATACACTCAAAAACTATAGTTTCGAATAAGATAGCATTTATTCAGAAACGCTCCAGAACGATTTCAGAAACGCTTTCAATTCAAATTTGCGACTTTTCATCTTTCTCATCTTGCTTTTCATCCTGCATCAGTCGAAAATATATGACCGGCATTAGAGTGTTCAGCTGTAAACGTTGTTGACCGCTTATGCCAATCTTCCATTCAGTTGCTGCCTTACGATCTGTAAGTGAGCACAAAAATATTGGCTGTTGAACAGATTATTTCATGGCAGATGCGCCACATCTGTACAGCTAGTCAAACACCATATTTAGAGAGATTGCTACCATATATTCAAATAAAACCTCCGCTGTCTAAAAGCTCCCATTCAATATTTTTTTTCAATTTCTCCCAGTTTTCTCCCAATTTCTTCTTTTTTTCAATTTCAAAGCTCCCATTCAATTTCGATTTTGACATTTTTTCACAAACGGCCAGCGCATTACTCGTGGACTCAAGTTATCTTCAACATCGTGACAAAGCATTTGATGGCCTTTTCCAAGCTCTTTCGTTTCTGACTGACGACTGTCGACGAATAGTCGACGCACGAGCTGCGAGCGAGGAGTTCACTAGAAAGGTTCCTAAACGCTTCTGGTCTATATCCCATTCCCAATTCCCTTACTTCGTAAACAAGTAAGAGTTCATGTCCTAAAATTTGTTCGTTTATCTTCTGTCGTCAAGAAAGACTTCGATAGATTAGGCACCAACGTACCGAAAGGTTTTGACCTAAAAAGATCACGCTGAAAATTCGACTCAGGTCAAGATCACGACCTAAAGGAAAAGGCTATGTAGGTATGCTGCACAATCGATGCGTGCTGCTGATATCACGAATGCACGGTCCCTTCGCTCGGCAACGTGTTCATCGAAAGTTTGTCAAAAAAGCTGCTGGTGACCTCTTTTGACCTAACAAGACCTTTCGAGTGACCGCTAACCGTCTGCTCTGTACCACTACCCACAATTACCATTATATGTATAGGTACGGGGGAGATGTCAAATTAACCCTATTCCTGGCGGGCTCCGCCGGGACAAGAAACTGGCGGGGGGCCGATTCGGCCCCCCCCCCTGAGATCTCGAGAACGAAGCAAGATAGCGACAAACGGTAAACGGCATCGGATACGCACGGTCAAGATCTACAATTTTTACAAAGGTCATTTTCAGGTCAGGTCAAAGATGACGTCACAGGGGTCGAAAAAGTCAAAATGGCGGCGCTAGATATGGAGAGAGTTTTTCTCGAATAACTTTCGAATTAGTCAAGATAGGAACAAACTAAGGGCATCATCGTGATCCTCTCGTCAATCCGCATCGAATGATATATATGTTGACCTCGCAAGGTCAAGGTCAAATGTTGACCTCAGGTCACGTGACCTCGAGGTCATCATGTATATCATTCGATGCGTCTTGACGAGCTGAACACAATGAGACCATCCACGCGTCTGTATCTTGTTCCTGTACGGGGTTATTGGCCAAAAACCTTTGGTGACCTTTGATGACGTCACATGACCTCACAGCTGCCCAACAGCAAAACAGACCTCAAGGTAGTGAAGGTTGATCGTATATGAAGTCATGTATGGTATATGGGGCCATTCCGACCCGTTTTAGTGGTAAAAACAGGGAGTTGATTTTTCCCCCATTGACTTATAATGGGGAGGTCGCGAAACTGACCCAGGGGCGGATCCAGAAAATCTCCAAGGGAGGGGCCATTAGAAACCAGGAGGCCCCCCCCCCATAATCCCACCTGTTGGAGGCCCCATCTTCCCACTTGTTGGCCCCCCCCCCAAAAAAAACTGCGTCTATTGAGCTTATCTAGCTGTTCAGGCAACATCTCAACATCTGTGCAGGCTTGGAGGCCCTCTGTGCAGGTTAGGAGGCCCTGTAAAAGTGGTCATCTCTGTGAGTATAAGAGACCTCCAAGTTATGAAAAGCTTTACCAATCTTCTAACAAAGAAGTCTTCTCAGCAGGCGGATCCAGGGGGGGGCCACCGGGGCCATGGCCCCCCCCTCAAAAGCCTGAAAGGGGGGTCCAACATATCTTTTGGCCCCCCCCAAAACGCTTGGAGAAAAATTAATGTGAGAAGGTTGCGTAGTAGATACCTACTAGAATCAGCAGCGTGATTCAAAAGCGTAGAGAAAGTCAGGGGCGCGGGAACTACTTTCAGACTGGGGGAGCACACCATAATAGAGATCAACCTAGGGTCCCCCCAAATCTAGTTTTCTCACCGGTTTTAGGCCACTTATTTTTCATCCCTTGGCTTTTTCAACAAAAAAAAAGAAACAGTTGCAAAAAAGGACGGTATTCCGTCTGAAAGTTGTGGGGGCACCGCCCCCACTGGCGGATCCAGGGGGGCCACCGGGGCCATGGCCCCCCAAAAGCCTGAAAGAGGGGGCCAACATATCTTTTGGCCCCCCAAAACGCTTGAAGAAAAATTAATGTGAGAAGGTTGCGTAGTAGATACAATAATCAGCAGCGTGATTCAATAGCGTAGAGAAAGTCAGGGGCGCGGGAACTACTTTCAGACTGGGGGAGCACACCATAATAGAGATCAACCTAGGGTCCCCCCAAATCTAGTTTTCTCACCGGTTTTAGGCCACTTATTTTTCATCCCTTGGCTTTTTCAACAACAAAAAAAAGAAAGAAAACAATTGCAAAAAAGGACGGTATTCCGTTTGAAAGTTGTGGGGGCACCGCCCCCACTGGCGGATTCAAGGGGGCCACCGGGGCCATGGGCCCAAAAAGCTTGAAAGAGGGGGCCAATAATCTTTTGGACCCCCAAAACGCTCGAAGAAAAATTAATGTGAGAAGGTTGTGTAAAAGATACTTACTAGAATCAGCAGCGTGATTCAATAGCGTAGAGAAACCCAGGGGCGCGGGAACTACCTACTTTTAGACGGGGGGGGGGGGAGGTCACACCATGATAGAGATCAACCTAGGATCCCCCAAATATAGTTTTGTCGCCGGTTTTAGGCCACTTATTTTTCATCCCTTGGCTTTTTCAACAAAAAAAGAAAACATTTGCAAAAAGGAGCGGTATTCTGTCTGAAAGTTGTGGGGGCACCGCCCGCACGGCCCCAGAGTTGGGGGGGGGGGGGCAAGCTGCCACCACTGCCCCCTCCCCCCGGTTCCCGCGCCTATGGAGAAACTACCGGGTTTACTAGCTTCCTTCCTAAAGTGTCGTCATGTCTTATCGTCACCCGAGAAGGTCTTATTGCATAAATATCGATTGAGCTGTCAAGTTAACAAACTTGCTGTGGCAGCCTGACCTGACATGACCCGGCAACTTTTCATTCACGGAATATGCGCAATAAATTTTTTAGGAAAACTCACTGAGTTTTCGTTGAAAAAAAACTTGTTTTGTTTCGTAATTGTACAAGAAGCATATGAGGGACCTTTTTGTCCCTTCCTGCGAAACGGTAAAAGACTTATTTCGGTCACAGCTCAGGCCAATCTCTAAGGGTCAGTCGGGTCACTTATTTCTTAAAAGGGTCCTTACGGCATCCAAGGACTAATTCCGGCTTTTGAGTGCGTCACATCAGCATTTGATGCTACGACAGATGTCGAAATCTGAATATATGTTACAGGCCGTATGAAAATTCGGTCCGTTTGCAAACGGCCTGGCCCAGTCAGGCCATATGAAACTACCTGAAAACACCGGCCGTTTGCAAACTATGACCTGAAATATCAGACCGTTTGAAAACGACCTAGTTAGTTTCGGCCTAGCGGATCCAGGGGGGCCACGGGGTCATGCCCCCAAGCCTGAAAGGGGAACAACATATATTTTTTGTCCCCAAAAACACTTAAGAAAAATGAATGTGAGAAGGGCGTAGTAGGTAGAGAGAAAATACCGTATCATTAAAAATCTGTGAGCTTGATAAAAGTGTTGGTCTTGTCTTCACCCAAGAAGTTCTTATTGCACACTTTAACCATGGATGAAAGAACTTTCATCCCCTGGTTCTCCTTCATCCATGCTTTAACTCTCGATCGACGTGTGAGGTTATCGTGTAAGGTATCATGAAGCCGATCGCGACGAAACTTTAGTACCCTCATGGTGACAAAGTCTGAAAATTTCATGACCCTGACCCAAGTGAACTTTGACTTGTGGCCTATTTCTCGAGACTATGTTTGGCCATGTTGGAGGCCATGTTTGGCCGGAATAGCGATTCGGCGTATGTCGGCTCACATTATCCGCGCTTTCATAGTCTTTTCGTGGTTTAAAACGCTCAAACATGTGATATGATGTTGCTCCCACGCATTAGGGCGGATGCCAATGTCACCTTACGGTCAAGTCAGGTCATTGACCTTTGATGACCTCGGTGCACTTTTCCGAGTTTAACATGTTTCTAGGATAGTTTCGTTTAGCTGATTTTGAATTTAGCATTTTGCAGCCATTTGAACATTTACGAAGTAGTTTTGATGCCTTCGTATCATGTTACGTAGCTGCCAGTGCCTAGTGGACACCTGCTATACGGACGCCCATAAGTACCCCTACTGGTTGATCTGACCTGACCTGCCCCGACATGGTCTAAACGCATGAAGACATTATCTATGATCCAAACTAACATGAAATTTGTGATCAGCACAAAAAAACGTATTACAGCCTTACTTTAGGAGGTTCTGACAGGTCCTGATTTTTCCGTCTTTTGGGTCTGTGACCTGACCTGGGCGGTGTTTCACGGCACGCTGCCAACGCTGATGGCACTTTTGGTTTCAATGGAGACATCAACAAGCCTATACCCACAACACTACCGAAGGCTGACCTTAGCTCGCGGAATGCGCTGTCAGCGGCTGTCAGCACGACCGTGAAACACCGCCCTGGAAGGTCAACCAATGACCAAGGACCTTAAAATCGGGTATCATCGGCTTCGTCTCGTCACTCACGGGCAACACGCCTGTTTTTTTTTTCCGCGAGCTCTAGCTTAATCAGGGGCCGAACGGTTGGGGGTCCAACCGACACCTCCCAGCCCGCGAAGGCTGCGCCACGCACCGACCCGGAGCGGGCTAATTGGTCGACAAAAGCAATTTGAAGTGTTTTCAAAGTAATATTTAGGCTCGGGTTGGGTGGGCTACCATTTCTATATTTTATTTTTTATTTTTAGTTTTAAAAAAATATCGTTTCAGGGCTGTGACGAAAAAATAAGTGGCCTAAATCCGATGAGAAAACAGGATTTGGGGGTACCCTAGGTTTGGTTACTTGCAGGAGTTGGCCCCCCCCCAAAACGCAAGTCTGGATCCGCCAGTGTCTCAGCTAGTCTTCTAAGAAATAACTAAGTGGGTAGGTTAAAAAAAAACTCATCGGATTTCGGCCACTTTATTTTCAGGAGGCCCCCTTTTCAGCTTTTTAACTTTTTAACTTTTTATTTTATTTTTGAAAAAAAATCGGCCAAGGGGGGGGCCATGGCCCCCATGGCCCCCTCCTTGTATCCGCGCCTGAACTGACCTGACCTTAGGTCACCGATATCAAAATTCCGAGATATACAAATTGCACATACTGGTACCCTAACTAAAGCCTGAAGAGAAGAAATTGATCGGTCAAAAACTCTAGCTCTGGCGTGATTGCAAACTTTTCTGAGGTAGGGTCACCAAACCGCCTCTGGTGACCTGACCTGAGGTCAGATCAACTCAAAATTTTCAGACATGTTGCGTAGAAGCCTTTTAGGAAAAGTCAGAAAATTTTAGCTTCCTAGCTCAACGCGTTTGGGAGAAATAACCAAAAAACCTCAGGGGGGGGGGCTCCTGAAGCCCCCCCCCGCCAGGAATAGGGTTAAACACGAACGGAAAATCATTTACCGTAACTACCTACGATAAAATCATGCAGCCGCAGGTAAAAGCAAGGTAATACACCTGGTGAAACATTTACCACAGATACATACCTACATCAAATATAATGTTTATTGTGATGCGATCATATATATGCACATACACAGCGAATGACGATGACATTGATGACTTAATGAGTTTTAGTTTACTTCTGAGAAGACATGCGAAAACGATATCTTATGAGCTTTTAAACTCCCAAGATAATTGTGCTCCCATCGATGGCTTTCTCACAGTTGGGTCTGTTTCCGAATTCCGTGGCTCAACTAACACGGGAGGTTGCCGGCATCGACTTGCCGCGCATCATCAGAACAGTAGAACTGCTTGCCGGATAGACAGAAGAACGTGTCCGGTTTGCAGACGAGGTCGCGGCAGCCGGGTCTGCCGTTCTGCACGGCGCACACCGGGGCCTGGGGAGGACAGTGGATGTCGGCGCAGGGGTCCGGGTAGGCGGGCGCCACGCACCGGCTGCCCGGCTGTCCCGCCACCGGACAGCAGAGCAGGTCGCCCTCACACGAGCTGTCCAGCCTGCACGAGGGCCCCAGCTTGGTGAGCGCCCAGGCCAAGTAGGTCGGCGCCGGACAGAAGCCCGGCTTCGGTTTGCCGGCCAGCACACATTCCGCCTTGAAGAAGCAGCTGGGTCTGTCGGTACAGCTGGGTCGCAGGTTCTCCGTCACACGGCAAACAGTGCCCGGGGCACACCGGACCGCGGCGCACGTGTTGCGCGTGCAGACCGGCTGAGGGTGGCACGGCGGTCGGATGCAGATGACTGTCTGCAGGACACACACCTCGCCCAGCGAGCAGCGGACGTGCGCGCAGCTCGGCGGCCGCGCGGCCGGCGGCGGCTTCGGGTGCGGGTGCGGCGTGTTCACACACTCGTACTGTGTCTGATGTGAGCCGTAGTACGAGTACGAACCGTAACCGTGGGAAACCCTCCGGGGTCGGCACGTCTGGCCGTACCGACAGGGAGGGCTGCAGCGATTGGCAGAGCCTGACGGAAGGGGCAATGCGGAATGTTACACCGGTCATGGTAGATAATCATGAATGTATAATGAAATTGGTGACTAAAAAGAAAGTATACCTGGTTTGCTGACTTGTTGAACAAGGAAATAATGTTCATAATAGTGATAGATAGCAATCAAACGGTGAAGCTCTATACCAAAATATTCAACTGCAACTAATAAAAGTAAGCTGCCAACACTCCGAAAAAAATCCGTGGCTTAGGAGATGGGAGTCGATAGAACTTACCGCCGGCAGACAGGGGAGCAGCACAGCTCAGGAGCGCTGCAGCGCTCAGCAGGAGATAGCCCGCCCCCATCGTGAGCGGGTGGCCGGCGTCGGACGAGAACTGAACGAAGTTGGGAGACGGGGCCGAGCTATATGCGACAGGCACACAAGGACGACTGCTGCGGCATCTGCACTAATCGGCACCCGTGGCAAGGGATTAGTCCAGCCGCGTGAGCTTCATATCGCAGCGGTTTGGCATTTGTGAAGAGTTATTAGAAATAGCACTGTCATATCAAGAAAAGTGGCGTTTGACATCCGCGCGCGTGGGAAACATAATTCTCCGAAAGGTTTTCTTATTTCCAATAATGTCTCAGATTTCGCTCCCTCGTGTTTTGCCGAGTAAAATTAAATGCAAACTTTTGTAACGTTAAGTTTTCTTCTTATGCAAAGAAAAGATATGTCGGCATGTCATGACACAATAAGTAGGTAATATATAGGTATGAAACACATGATGAGTTTTGTAGACACCGGATGAAAACGTTGTTACCCTCATTTTACCAAAAAGGACCCGTAGATCACTTATGTTTACTTTTTGAGAGCATTCACATATTTATTAATTGCCTAAAATGGACCGACCACGTGTGCTAGCGGATGAGAGATGACTGCTCCTGATATCATTTTCGGCGCTGGTGGTGGGAACTGGGAGCCCTGGCGAGCTTTGGAGTCGGCTGATCTCATACGAGCTTAAGAAGGTAATAGAACACTGTTAGGAGGGTTGGGTGTTTTGCTACATGTAGTAAAACACCCAACCCTCCTAACAGTGTTCTATTACCTTCTTCCTGGTGTTCATTTGGAAGCGCGAGTAATTTAAGCGGGGAAGGGACTAAATTAACTTTCCTCAAGTGCTCAGATATGTACTGTGCAATTACACCGCTAACGTTGTTAATATTTTTCTGTGTGTACGGACTTAGATGATATTACGATATTGTCGTACGAATGATTGCACATGATCATGTCGAATATAGTCTTCAATCGCAAAAAAGGCGCGTACAATTAGAGCATACCTACAATCTTACACCATGACCATCGTTTCGTCGGCTTTCAAAGGACAAGACACACACACACACACACACAATTCTTTGGGACAGGTCCACTCGCACCAAGGCCTTTACCTTATTGAGGCTATTGCACCGCACGACAATATTTTGCTCCCTAAATATGTGTCATTAGATGCATTCCGTATTGCTAATTGCACTCATAGCTAACTAACTCTAGCAACATCATTGACTGCCATCAGCCCAATATTCCCGCACAGCCGAGGTGGAATCAGAATGGCTGAGAGTCCGTGGGGGACGATAAGTGATACTGCCACATCCGCTGTTGCAGTCTTTCTTTGGGAATAACCTCGCCTCGCCGTTTGCCAGGTGATATAGTCCGTCTCCCAGTCGCAGTCGCCGGTGTTAGGTTTATATGCCTGAGATGCAGTCCTTTAGCTAGCGGGTGCGTACTGCGTTATGTGTAGTGCGTTGGCACTTATATGAAGACACGAGATATGTGCTGGTGTAGGGTACCTCAATGTTAGAAGTAGTATTCTTATGATAAGAATGAATAAAAACCTTTGCTCGTAACGAAGTGTCATCATTCATCCTTATTAGAATAAGCATGCTAAAAAAAATCATGAACCATTTAAATTTTAATTCCAGAGTAATAGGTACCTATTTCTGTATGTGTAAAAATGCACACAAAGCATTATGCTCCAGCATTGGTTGGCTCGCTCAGATGCGCAGTACGCACAAAGCCGTCTCCTTCAGCTCCGTTCGACCCATATGTCACCTGACATGAACATTGAACATCCCATGTCGCAATACGCAGTACGCCGTTCAGCCAGGTTTTTATACCTATGGTCATATAATCTTGAGATTAAACAAGGTCCACCACCAAGTTATGTTTGTTGTAATCCTTTGAAGATTTCGCAATGCTTCAAGCAAGGATAGCAAATACGCCCGTCTAAGCTGTAATTAGCTGCGTTTGATCCGGAGCTTCATGCATCTTGTCTTGTCATCTGCGCCGTGCTCAGCTCAGTTGCAAGTTGTCACAAATGCGCCATAGAACATAGCTATCTGTATGTCCGACGAAACGAATCCGTTAGAGTCGTAACGGGGTCTCCGTGACGGATCTTGGGACTTCGGCAACCCCTGATCTCCGGACGTCTAAGTCTAACCATTGAGGATTAAAAAAACTATTTAGGATGAAATCAGTGGTTCGATGCAATTACACGATAATTGTCCCAATAACATTGAAGTATGTGATCTGATATCACCATCACTGTGATCTTGAACGTATAACCTCTTGCGAGCGTTGAACCCAGCACGTATAAACAGCGGGGAGGAACCGAGGACTTTAGCGGGGAGGAACCGAGGACAGCAGCGGGTGAGGACGGGGAATTCCCGGCGCACTCCCCGCTGCCCCCTGTGACCCGCACGCCCACCGCAGCGGTCCTTTGCACAGCGGGCGTCGACGCTTCCCACAGCGCAGCGCGGCGGCGGCTCAGCGCATAATCGGAGCCGCAGGGCACGTGGCAGACTGACAGAGCCTACTTAGGGGCGCGCCGCGGCGGCTCGCGTCCAGTGGCTCCGCGGCGCGGGCGGCGCGGACGGTGGCACCTCGCGTGCGCTGCCGGTCATCGCTTGTCGTGCTCTTTTAGTCGATGTAGACGACGAATAAGACACACCACTCAAGAAGGCGACGACAGAGATCGGACTGTGCGTGTGCCTAGCGATCTGGCCAAGGTTCCGCCGGTGACGACGATGTTGTTTTCCGCCCTGACGGTGACCGTCCTGGCGGCGCTGATGACGGTCCCAGGACAGGTGGAGGCCCAACGGGGGAGAACTCAAGGTCAGTGACCGCACCGGCAGACGACATCAGCCCGGTCACCTCTGTTGCATAAGCGGCAGATGCCCTGCATAACTCATAAGCGCTGCTCAAGTTTTGTAGCCGGCACGGTGTGGCTAGTTAGTAGTCACTCGTTTCCAGCAGGGCAAGCTCGGTTGACTGCGATTCCCAACTGATACTGGTTCAATATTTGACCAGATCTTACATTCTGAATGACCCCCACTGACCTTACTGATAAATTATAAATTCGTTGCATTTTGGTACCCTGTTGAAACCTATTTATAAAAAAAAAACATTTTGTTGGTCGAACTAAATATGGTAGTATCTAATGCATGTGCCTTCATACAACAATTTTATGTTCGTTTTAGTCAACGAGATAAAACGAACCACGAATAACCTTCAACCTGTCTGCGACTGCGTCATTGCAGAATGTGTGACTCCGACCGGGTTCCTGGGATCGTGTCGTTACGGCCTGCGCCATTGCAGAATGTGTGACTCCGACCGGGTTCCTGGGAGCGTGTCGCTATGGCCGGTGTCATTGCAGAATGTGTGACTCCGACCGGGTTCCTGGGATCGTGTCGGTACGGCCTGCGCCATTGCAGAATGTGTGACTCCGACCGGGTTCCTGGGATCGTGTCGTTACGTCCTGCGCCATTGCAGAATGTGTGACTCCGACCGGGTTCCTGGGATCGTGTCGTTACGTCCTGCGCCATTGCAGAATGTGTGACTCCGACCGGGTTCCTGGGATCGTGTCGTTACGGCCTGCGCCATTGCAGAATGTGTGACGCCGACCGGGTTCCTGGGATCGTGTCGTTACGGCCGGTGTCCATCCGACGGCGGACCGTCGCCCGTCTGTGCGCGCGGCTACAGCTGCTGCGTCCAGGTCACCCGAAGTCGGCCCCGGGGCACCAACCGGCGCCAGGGGGTGGGCCCGACCAGCTTCGGACGAAAAACGCTGCTCAACCCGCAGTTCGGTGAGTTTCGTGACGAGGGGAGGGGGAGGGGGAAGAGGTTAGGGACTGGGAGTATCAACAGAGTTGACAGTCCCAATATGTTCCCATGACCCATTTGAGTTGAAATCATGCGATCCTCATTTTAGGGTCCCAAGTATGCCCAGCCCTATGTGAAGCACTAAAATCAGCTTATTAGATGTTGCTCAAACAAGCCAAGCGAAGTACTGGTAAAAACATTTTTATCTGTATATCCAGTTCTGATGCAACTGGCCTTGATCACGAGCATAATACCAAGCCACTGTAGAAAATAATACTTAATCGTGCGGTTTAGCTTTCACGTCATCTCTCGGTTCGCAGTTTGTTCGATCGAGACAAAGCGACGTGCAATTGTTATGTTATTTATTTCTTTGAGACGGATCAAAAGTTTTTCATTGAACAAATTATCATATGCCGAAGCAAGTTGGAGCTAGACCTTTTACCGATGTCTCTTACCAATGTCAAAACGTCTAGCTATGAGTGAAAGGCAGTGAGCATCGTAAGAAGAACACGTGCCTTACGGAGTTTCGAGACATCGAACAACTTCATGCACAAAACCTAAGAGCATCCATAATTGATCACAGTTTCACCGAAGACAATAAAATTCCATGTCGAAGGCCACATACCATTTGAAGAGCGCCTCGTCAAGTTTTATCGTAGCCACGTTTGCAGCCGGGATTTCCAGCTTTAAGCTAGTTTTGTCACGATAGAGCCTGGCTGACCGGCAGAGCTGAGTGTTAACGACAAATACGGATCACTTTCTGCACATTTTTAGCGTTATTTCGGATGTTATGGAGCCTATAGCCACTCGAATGACATGATATCCATTGTTGTTACCGTGTTACCGTGTCCGTGTATCTGTGGCTCGTCAGCGATGATCAGTAAAATACTTCCGCAACCAGAGCAGGATAGCGACCTTGAAGTTCCCAAATCCGCCCACATTTCTTTCCCCATGGTGAGCCTGTATCCGCCAAAGAGTGTTTCCAATCAATACATACTTCACCGGCGACAACGCCAAACAAAACTTTGATGTTGGGGTCTGGGGAAATATCTCCAGACTGTGTTTGCGCATGATAGTATACCAACATCCCACCGAGCCCACTTCACAACCTACCCCGCCGCGCGCCGGTTCACTGACGCCTGCATCCTCCATCTCCTCATTTAAATGCTGCACAGCATCACGAGGCCCCTAACCGGACGCCGCCTGATCTGCCTAATCCGCAGAGTGCGGCGGCGAGCCGGCTCCGGAGCCGATGCGCGACCCTTCTGCCATCGTGTTTCCGCGCACCAAGAGACAGGCTCCTAAGCCGGGCGCGCCCACCCCCGCACCGGGCTCGGGCGCGCTCTTCGTAGCCGGGGGAGCTCCCGAGCCGAGCACTAATGCTGTCGGAGTGGTAAGTGAACGACACACCGTTCCGTGCTTCTATCCTCAGGATACTGAAATCCTTCTCCTCCACGCCGCAACCCCCCTCCGGGCTGGACAGGCAACTTAATCTCATGCGGGCTGCTCCCTTGGAGCGGCACCGCTGCTCCTGAGGGAGCGCACCCCGTAGCCGGGTGCAGTGAGTGCCTTGGGGCTGGGTGGCCTGTCCTCTGGACGGGCTCAGCCCCGGCGACTCACTAGGGTGCCTGCCCAGACCAATGTCTCCCCCTAATTCCTATCATCCTTCCGGCTCTGCAATGGTCTTGTCGACCGAAAGGGCCTAACCCAACAAAACAAACAAACAAATAAGTGAACGAAGACAGCAATTTATGACGACGGCGCCTCGCCCGTAAGCAGCAGTGCACATCCGTGTTATGAAAGTCACTTTGTGAATAGTGAGTGAATGTTGTGATAAGCATGAGCAACAACAATATCACCCGTTGTTTTATGTCAGATAATGCCCACATTCCTGTATTAGAAATACGTACGACGTCGGATGTACTAAAAGTCAAAGTGGCTTGAGGTGATGCAAACCAATTTTTTTTCAGGGTGTGATCAGTCCTCAGAAGCCGAAGCGTCCAAAGCCGTCCATTGGGGATGTCCTATCACGGATTCGCAAGCCACCGGCAAGTTCTGCGCCAATCCCCCATCCGCCTCGCTCTTCTTCCAGCTCCTCCAGCCGAAGAAGCCGACCGAGTCTGTTCTCCAGACCTAGACGACCGAACAATCCGAGACGAGGTCGATTCCAGGGGTTCTTCGGCCCTCCCAGGCGGAGCTTCATCAAGCGTCGGGGTTACGGGCGTCCCAACTACCGCCGGCCACGCCAAAACTACTACCGCCGGCCCAAGCGGTACCACGGTCCTTCGAGAAACTACTGCCCGGTCCGCGGCTACCACAACCACCACCCGCGGCGAAGCTACAGCCGGCCTCGGCGCGGGTTCTTCGGCCACCTTCTGTCCGCGTTCACCCCGTCCCGCCGGCGCTACAAGCGCTCCCCGCAGACCGCCGAGGAGGCTCAGGCCTTCGAGTCTGTCTGGCAGGAGTATCAGGAGCGCGTGCGTGCTGGTGACGCGCCCGCCGGTTACACCCGTCAAGAAATCCTCGAGGCGTTCCGGGCGGCGTCGGCGGAGGCGGCTCTGAACCCCGACCCGGCCCCGGGTACGTCCGGGTGGACGTGCGGCGCCGTGCTCATCTCTGAACGCTTCATGCTGACGGCGGCACACTGCCTGCTTGGCGGGAGGCCGCAGGTCGTCCGTCTCGGTGACCTGAACCTGACCTCGACCGGCGACGGCGCGCCGCAGGAGTACCGTGTGGTAGAGGTGATCTCCCACCCCGAGTACCGTCACCCGCACGTGTATCACGACCTGGCGCTGCTGCGACTGGACCGTACCGTGCAGTTCAGCGAGTTTGTCAGGCCGTTCTGTCTGTTTGACGGACGCAGCAGTCTGGTGGACAAGGTGTCGCACGTCTCCGGCTGGGGCGCCACTGAGTTCGGTGAGTGCGACTGATTTTTCAGCATCCTTATGAAAAATCAAAAACGTTTTTTTAGACTGAACTACGCTACTAACAAGACTGGATCAATTAAAGCGATGCTACATTGATCTCCGTTTTCCATTCATATCTCTATGTAGTAGAGCTCTCCCATGATTGTTTTTATCGAGCTGGGTAACTCTTCACCCTTCAGCTTTTAAAGATAGACTGTGAATAAGCCATAAGCTCAAGCATTTACACCAGTAAATGCTGGAGTAAAAGCAGCATCAGTGAGAGCAGCATTTTCACAGCTCGCAGCTACCAACGCCACTAACTTCGTCCCCTACCATCCCCCCCACCCCCAGGCGGTGGTCAGAGCGACGTCCTGATGGGCGGCAACGTCACCATCTGGTCCCAGTCCCGGTGTGCCGAGGTCTACGAGCGCCAGCTCACTTTCAAACGCCAGCTGCCCGACGGTATCACGCCCGCGCTGCTGTGTGCGGGTGGCGAGGAGCAGGACGCGTGCCAGGGCGACTCGGGAGGCCCAATGACCGTTCTGACCGAACGCGGTACGAGACTGGTCGGTATTGTGTCAGCTGGTATTGGATGCGCGGCGCCCGGCATACCGGGCCTGTATGCCAATGTGGCTCACCATCTGGATTGGATTGATGGAGTGGTGTACGGAGGGCAAGGGGTGTAGGGGGAGGGGACGGATGACCGACCGCATGGGCATTAAGGTCAGGATGTGATAGCGGGTTGGCTTTACGATCGCACGGGCATTACAGTGCGGGACTTACATGGTCGCTGATTAGCTTGAAGCATTCACAGTTACATGTGAAAGGGCTACGATAGCGAGAGGGAATGCTGATTTATGATGGCTTTGTAAAACAGCATATTCGCAGATGAGACCAACCATTGCTTGTTGGTAGGTAGGTAACTAGGTAAGTACAACTAGAACAGCGCACATTTAAAGCCAGATACAGCAGTTGTTTTAGCCATGCAACATTATACAAGCTTGACTGAGCAGTGGACCATGTGTGAAACTAAAACGGCCACGGGCATTCCGATTTTTAAAGCTTCATCATTAGTTGAATACGCTCAATTTTAGGAGACGCTGTTATCTGTAACTAGGCATTATATTGTCAACTCATGTTGGATGTTAACAAATACATTACGTGTTACAAACCACGGTGGTCCGAGAGGCAACAACTTCCAAAAACTATCTGCCAGATGAGCTGTAGAAATCGCGAAACTAGGCCTCACAAAACTACACTGAATAGCACTAAAGGCTTAAGCCCCGATGAACTTATTCGAAACTAAGTAAGCTTCTTACAAATACGTCACAACAGTGCTCCACCATTACGCTCTGTCTTTGATGACACAACACACTGTCACACTGACACTGTGTCACTGTCACAGTGTCGCATCAGGCAGTCAACAACACAGTCAGGCACGGACACTTCGTACAGACCATACGTCATCAAACCCCTGTTCTTACTGACAGACGAGATCAATCCACCTTTCTACCTAGACGCCAAGTCATTTTCACCCATCGAACCGGGTCCCATCACTGTATAAGCAACCGACCTTTTCACCGTCCTCACTTGTCTTTCCAAACCCTCTCCCTAGCCTCTATCAGACAAAGTTTTACGCTACGGTCTTCTCCAAACCCGCGCGTACAGACTCAGCTGCGGGTGGCGCACCGGTTCGGTGATCTCCCTGCAGAGCTGTGACCGCGACTCGGCGACTAGCTCAGGGCAGGGAGATGGGTGCCGAGGCCGAGTATTTCTGTCTGACGGCGCCCACCAGCTCGTGGTGAATGACGAACGTGAACCGCAGGTGGGCGATCTGTGAACACGGAGACACGCCCGGCTTTAGAACACGTGCGGCGATGTAACGAAGTGATGACCGAACAGAGTCGGGTTGGACTTCTTACCCGGGAATACCCAGTGGAAACGGACCGGTTCCTACGAGACCTGGCCCAAGACGGCGAAGAATTGAAGTAGGATGCAGTTGACAAAACGGAATGCCCTATACTTTACATTAAAGTCTTACAACAAATACATAATACATTTACCTCATATATAAATATTGCTTTTATCATCGGGTACTACTCTGTAAGATCGAATCGTTACTTTCAACTAAATATGTTTGCCTTTTTTGTCCGGTCGGTCGGTGTCCTCTCAGCTTTTTTCCATTTCCACCACTCACCTCTACCACCGAGTTGTCATTCAGTTTGTACTTGTTCCCTGCCAGCACCGGTTTGCCATCGACAAAGATCGGCCGCTTGCCCGCGTTAGCGATGAAAAACTCTCCCGAGTTTCTGAGTTTGATGATGCCCTGTTTGCGGGATACCTTCCAAGCCGGCCCCTCGAGCGACAGGTCGATATCTACGGCTGAGTCCTTCGTACTCCGACCCAGGGTGATCTAAGGCGAGACGGAAGCGGCACGGAGATTAGGGACACAGTAATGTATAAGATACGCACGATATAACGACTACGGGTGGATTTCACGTGATAGGCTAATCATGAGGATTTGAAACCGAGATGAATGACACTCGTGTTCAGTCTATGAAATGCGGCGGGTAGAGTCGCTATCAACACAAGTCGCCAACATGAGGCGGATCGAACTGTTACCAATACGAATCGATATCATTTGGAGTCACTAATTTGTTGGCAAGCCGAGCACACGCATCCTCCATCACCCCTCCGCACCCACCTCAGCGGAGCGCATCAGGTAGCGCACGGTGCGTCCGCGCAGAATGGCCAGCGTGCCGTTGTCGAACTCCGGCGGCGACACTCCAGTTACACCGTCCACCAGCACCTGCCAGCGGCGGCTCTCTGTCTCCAGGCGGCGGATCTCCTGCTTCGAGCGCCTGACGAGGACGAGGTGAGTTAGTGCTGTTATTGGTTTTGATTCAGGGATTCTGGTTGCAGGACGCTCGAGCTGCGGCAGTGCATGTCAGTCTAATCGAAGGCCGTGTTGTGTAACGAATCGCGTGGCTAGGTAGGTAAAAACACTGAATTCGCTGCGGTGTCTGGAAGCGGACACACGACAGATTATATGATACGGAGTTATACAACAAGAGGCCCACTGTCCATTTATAGCTGCATTACATGTTGTGGTATTTCTGAGAACGCAAGCTGTCGGTGGTGGACAATCACCTACCACAGTAATCCTTGGAACATCACCTAACGAACAACTAGAGTACTTGAATTTGACGTGTATGTTTCGAAGAACGTGAAATTAATGCTACTCAGGGGAAAATGAACAACCTTCACCAGTCACCTAGCTCCGATTTCTACAAATGATCATTACATTAAAGGGACCCTCCCACCTTCAAAAAAGTTAATGAATTGGCATAAAAGTGATGTAGCGTGAATCACAAAGAGCGAAAATGAACATCTACCAAATTTTACCGGAAAATATTCACCCGTTTTCGAGATATAAGACTTTTATTTTTGTTTACTTTTTGGGAAATCCGCTGTTTCTATGACGTCACATAAAGGTTTTCTTTACGTCGGCATTTGGAAGCAATAGTTCGGTATCAAAGTGCGACAAATATTGCGCGAATGATGCGTTTATCTTATCAAGGTCAATATATGATGGCCAATAAAGGATTCCAGGACAATTCTTATGGCATTTCTTCGTATCGCAATTCTTCGTCTGCAAATCTTCGTCAGGGCATTTATTCGTACCTATCGCATTACTTTGTCTCGCACCAGGGTATATGAAAATCGGCTCGCATTTCTTCTTCAACGCAAATATATGCAAGAGTAAGCATTGAGGGACAAATAAATGCACCGACGAAGATTTGTAGACGAAGAAATGCGGACGAAAAATTGTGCTACGAAGAAATGTCATGCGAGGATTCGTTCGGGTACCATAACATTTATGTGATTTCAAAGTCAAGGTTCACAGCTGATCTGCTAAATCAAGCCAAGAATCCAAACTATCAAAAAACTATAAATATTTGTTTGTCTGTCACAGAGGTCTCAAGCAATATAAGGTTGACATATGTTGAATCAAAAATCTACTGCCACAACTCACATCTCCTGCCTTAGTTTATCATTGTTGTTTTAACTTGCTTTCAAGAGAAACAGAAGCCAGTATCTGATATCACTTCAGATGATTGTTTCAAGATCTGAGTTCAAATGGAAATAAAAGCAAGATCAAGATGAAACAGGGATTATTGCTGTTAAAGTAGTTTGGCCATGATACAACAAGCACATAAATCATTAGCCAAATCAAATACTGGTTGGTTTGTCAAGATGTTTGTTGTCTGTCGTCTGTCGAGCTGCTATGAACACTGAACGCTCTCACTCTTACTTTAAAGAGAGTAGTTTAAGTTGAATGGTAGTGAGCTGTAATTAGACAAAGCAGCTATTCAGTGCTCACATCAAGCCAGGCTAGGAAATGGCATCAACTGTGGTGGGAGGAAGCAGGTTCGGCAGCCCTATGTTGTAAACTTCTGTTATGTCTTGTGTTTGATCAACTCATGTTTTCTGCTCTGTTTTGTGCAGTGATAGTAGCAGGTAACTGCATGCTTGTCAAATTATGTGAATAAACGAATTCATAACATTGCATTTTTCTCTCCATGCAAGGAACAAGTAAGATGTTGTAGAAAATGTAATAGAGGGCTGCATTGCTGATTTTGCACTTTATCAGAGCTTTATTTAGAATTGCTTTCCTGAAAGCTACACACAGGCCACAGTGCTGAAATTCACAATGTCATAGCTTTTGGCAGAAAAAAGAAAAGACTTACCTAGGTAAAATTGGCTGAAAGTATGGCAGAGCAGGTCTTGATGCGTATGCCCATCCGTGTGCTTGCCGAAGCCGAACTGACTGCAACACATTTAACTCTGACCCACCATGGTGGCTGGCATATCCTGAACTTTCACCACTCTAAACAAGACAACTTTCAGCCCTCAGCATTGTATTAAAACACTGCACAAAACACTCAAAATTTGTTTCAGTGCCATCCACGGACAACATCAGTCGCCATTCACCAGGCCAGTAAAAACAGAATAGATAATAGCTTCAAACCCATGTAGTCAGAGTTACTAGGTCTGCACCTCAAAACAAAATCCAGGTGACATTCACCACGCCAGTAAAAAACAGGTACTTAGGTAACGTAACAGCTTCAAATCTGGTAACATGTTGGTCGGACTTTACACTACCATATTTACATGGAATAATATGATACCAAACAATAGTGCAACCATTCTGGACAACAAAATTGTATGATAAAATTAATTTAGAATACTCTGGCAGCATGATTTACGAGCACAGGCAGGTGTTACCTACCAGCCTTCTCAATGCTCGTAAAACCAACATTGTAGTTTTGATTTTACCTTACATGATAACACACTTGGCTGCAATGGCACATTTAATTTAATACTGTGAAAAGTCCAGTTATAACCACTTCACAAGCACAATTGCACCTCATGCCGACATCCTTTTCCAAAGACAGTCAGCAGCGGGGCATTCCACGATAGATCGACCAAAATTTTATCAGATTTACACCCGACCATTTTTGATTTTGATGAAATCTTGTCTACAGGGTTCTCTTATGCCCTGAAGTCAATGGTGACAACGCCAGACCCCTACGGTCAGCGGTTTAGGAGATATAGCCCCGGGCATTTTGACGAGGTCACTCTGCAGAGTGATTTTTGAAGTGCTATATCTCCTAAAGGAATGAAGGAAATGCATTAAACCTTTGCATCGTTGTGATCGTGGTGAAATGGGCAATTAATTGGCCATCTCGGATTTTCAAAAAAATGATTTTGATTTTTAGCTGTGACGTCATCAATTTTTAAACTTTCTGGCTACCCCCCTAGTACATTAAAATTTGCCATTATTTTTGCTCAGAAATAAAGTTCCGTCAATTTCCTTTCGACTGGGAAAAAACAAAAATGGTAATCTTTCTACAAATATTTTATTTTCTTTTTTGAAAATCGCACTACAAACTCTGATTTACAGAATCGGGTTATTAAGCAATATAAGACACATCTGCGAGGACCAGTTACTTCCAAAAAGAGGTTATCTGGGTTTCGGCATATAATATTCTTCTCTTTAACTTCACTTTTGATAACAAAAAAAAAAGAACTTTAATATTACTTGCACAGGAGTCAATATAATGGCAAAATTATACATACTTTTGAGCTGCCACAGCTGCCTTGTTTATCAACGTAGCTCAAATGACCAACCGACAGTCGATTTGCAAAGCATATTTACGAACCGACTAACTATAAACGAACAAAATAATTGGTAGTTTCAGAAAGGCAAAAGGTGGTGTAATGTGACTAGGTATTTCATCAGCGAATCATCATTTTCAACGCTGGATGCAATAAAAGCCATAAACAACGGAGTGCATTTCTATTGCAGTTGCAATAACAGACGGCAAAGCACCAAGACAGGAACGAGATCACGGCCACACAAACACACTTTTTACTTATTTGAGCTACGTTGATAAACAAGGCAGCTGTGGCAGCTCAAAAGTATGTATAATTTTGCCATTATATTGACTCCTGTGCAAGTAATATTAAAGTTCTTTTTTTTGTTATCAAAAGTGAAGTTAAAGAGAAGAATATTATATGCCGAAACCCAGATAACCTCTTTTTGGAAGTAACTGGTCCTCGCAGATGTGTCTTATATTGCTTAATAACCCGATTCTGTAAATCAGAGTTTGTAGTGCGATTTTCAAAAAATAAAATAAAATATTTGTAGAAAGATTACCATTTTTGTTTTTTCCCAGTCGAAAGGAAATTGACGGAACTTTATTTCTGAGCAAAAATAATGGCAAATTTTAATGTACTAGGGGGTAGCCAGAAAGTTTACAAATTGATGACGTCACAGCTAAAAATCAAAATCATTTTTTTGAAAATCCGAGATGGCCAATTAATTGCCCATTTCACCACGATCACAACGATGCAAAGGTTTAATGCATTTCCTTCATTACTTTAGGAGATATAGCACCTCAAAAATCACTCTGCAGAGTGACCTCGTCAAAATGCCCGGGGCTATATCTCCTAAACCGCTGACCGTAGGGGCCTGGCGTTGTCACCATTGACTTCAGGGCATAAGAGAACCCTATAGACAAGATTTCATCAAAATCAAAAATGGTCGGGTGTTAGGCCTTGGTCGATCTATCGTGGAATGCCCCCAGCGTCTTTCGTCAAAACTGGAAGATCAATCCCCTTTCAACTGTTAACATCAAAAATATTTCTTCATGGTGTGATCTCCTATGGAAACCTTGCGGGAAAAGAATTAATGTCAATTGTCAGCTCTTCAAATTTCTTTGGACTTTAACTTGCAGTACCATATCCAGTTTGCTTTGATATTTTGTTTTTTATTCCATGTTGAAGTTGAACACCAAGCTCCAGATATAGCAGGCAGCTTGATCATCTTCGGCCTTGGTATAATATCAGTCCAAGTTCCAGTGGTGGGTATCTTCTAATATTCAAATTAAAATGAAAAGCAATAGGCTTTCTCATCGCCGACGACGGATTTCACGTTGATAAGAAAGGGAGCTCAAGGTCAGCAAAACTCGGGTTCAAGGAATGGCGGGCGTTGAAATGACTGCTGACGTCATCAAAAAACCGCTAATGGTTAAGAGATAGGGACTAAGCTGGTCCCACCCTGCAAGTAAAGGGAAGAAATTTCTTGAACACCATAAAGCTGCGGGGGTTGCGACCAGGATAAATGGTGGTTTCTGAGCCTGGCCGCAAACTTGGCTATCTCAACTCAAAACTAATGTTAAGGTGGGATGGTCCCTTTAACCTAACGCACATAGCTCACCCAGTAAACTACACCCTAGTGAACACTCCAAATCCACCACACTTATAGCCCGATCACCTCTCGGCATCGTCCCACGCACCGATCTACGATGTCCAGTTCGCGGTCCAGCTGCTCGTCCGGCGGCGTCTCCAGCAGCGCCAGGTCGTCCATCGCCTCCTCGGCGTCGGAAAACTGCAGCGGCATGTCCTTCACAGTCGCCGGCTTGGCTGCAGTGGGACAGAAAGGATCGGTCAGTTGTAGTCACATACCTATCCTTCACAGACACTGGGTTGGGTGCGGCTCCGGGCAGGCGGCTAACAGTCAAAACTTGGCAAAGTGCACAAATAAAGCGGCGTGTTTTTCTTTGTCTGTCGCTGTCACCGGTTGCCACCAAATATTGGCTGACAAAAAGGCAAAACAATTTCTGTAGCCCTCATGTGTAGCCGTGTAGCCCGAGCTATAAACTGAAAATAACGACATGCCTAATAAGATGCACCTAATAAGATAATGGACTATCGCCATCAAAATGTTACAAACATGCCCAATCGCACACCACCGACGCCGCCACAGAAGCACGACCCCGAGACCCTCCCTGCACATCGACCCCCACTCCCCGCACCCTCACCGGACTGATCGGTAAGCAGCTGGTACAGCTTCAGCTTCTCCCACCGCTCCCGGAGCCGCTTGGCCGTCCGGCTGGAGTGGAACGTCTCCGGGTGGGCGTCCAGCAGGGTCTGCAGCTGCTCCAGCGTCGGGGGCGACGTCTGCCGGCGGCGACACGGCGAAGGTGTGGTCAGCAGGACACGGAGAGTGGCATCGCGGAGTCACAGTTCGCAGTGATTACTCAAACGTGCTTCAAGGCAGCATATCACTGATACAGTGGTTGTATATCCTGTCTTGCATTGTGGGGGTCAAACAGTACCGCTTCAACCAAACACAGCTGATCCAGCAGGTTGGTAGTGCCTTAAACGGCAGGGACGCATTACCGATATCAAATCCCATCTAAGCCCCAGTGCCTACGCAGTTCCATGACACCAAACGGAATTTATAAGTGAGCGCAATGCCACAGAACAGGTATCACTTACCGAGCTGATGGCCTTCAGAAGATCCTCTTCGGCTTGCGAATACAACGCCTTGCTTTCCACCTCGGCAATCTGGGAATTGGTGCATAAATTGTAGCCGCGTTTTCGGAAGGTACGTGTGCAGCATAAAGACGCACAAAAGGCGCCCAATTGTGGTAAACTCAAGAGCGTATGTTTTATTCAGCCGGAAAACTCCGCTTCCGGGACACGGTAAGCCAATGTTCATACTGTCATCCTAAGGTGGAGACGCTCCTTTATTCGTAGCGAGGTAAATCATTTGAGCAGCATTGCTGTATGGAAAATCCACAGAAATAGAAAATGCGTGATCGGATAAACTAGAGAAGTCACCAAATCAGTCAATATAAGGGCAGTCGGCAACCAGACCACAGCTTGGCTGCGATCGTATATACTACATTCCTAAATTAAAATACAATTTTAACAAAGCTCGACCAATAGTAGGCCACCCTTTTCCCAGAAGCTCGCAACCGATGCATTACCTGTTCCGGGTGAAGGTTTCTCATGGCGGTGACGGCGAGTCGGGAAACGGAGGGATCGTACAGCAGGGCGTACCACCGCTCCTGGATCTCCGACAGTGTGAACTTGCAGGAGAACTTGACTCCCAGGTGAACCAATGTCAGGTCACAGGCCTGCCGGGTCGGTTAGTTAGCGTCATATAACGTATAACGAATTTGACGTCATATAACGAATTTGGAGAACGGGGTAGAAGACGGGTCCTGCAGCGACATTTTCATTCCATAATGAAGCGTAAAACGACATACCCCAAAACAAAGCGCAGTGAAAGTAGAAGCGACTTAAAATACCCAGGGGTAGCCTTACCATTGGAGACAACAATACGATGGCATTTTCACTTTCATCACATTGGAACAATAATACCTGAAAGATTATGCATTCCACAGTTCAGAGACACAACTTCATTGAGCCCTCTCAGACTCAATCACCCACGCCACCCCATTTACTGATCGTTGCCCTTTAACTTCTTTCTCTTGTAACTCAATTCCAAATTTGACTACTGATACTTCACTTCACCCACCCAACCCCTAGTCACTGTCATCCCCAGAGCCCCTCGATATCCCTCACCTCCCTCCCTCCCGACCACTGACCTGTTGAACAGCATTGATAAGCGCCAGGTCGTCCGTCGGCTTCCAGCGGCCGATGTCCTTGAGTGCGGCGGCTGCGGCGCGCGACCGCCGACTGCGGCGAGATGTGGCGCGCGCCGGCCGCCGCCGCAGCGGCTCATTGACGCCGCTCAGTCCCATGCTGCTCAGCTGGTAGTCGACGCTCTGGGCTGTGACATCGCGTCGGGGCGGTACACGTCAGGGGCACGTTTCAGGGGGACGTCACAAATTAACATTTCATAGAATTTATCCAAAAATATAATGATAAAATACAACGTTACAGGATAATGTAAATCGCTGGTCTACCACATCACGCAGCACTCAACAAAACAATATGCATAGCCCCACAGGAACAAAAATCAACATTTTTTAACGAAAAAAGGCAGCGGCAAGTTATCCTTACTTCTGGCCGCCTTTGCTGGGGGAAGTGGAGGAAGCGATATGCCCGACTCGACGATCTCATCATCAAACTTCTTCCGCTTGATCGATCTTGTAGAGCTGCGAAAATTCCCGAAAATTTATTATCAGGAAAAAATGACAGACGGTAAAAGCCAACCAACGAGCAACAAGGATTATAGCCATCTACATTCTACATATGTAAACCACAGACAGCATTGTAACCAGCACCATACATGTGGGATCTTCCATCGGTCAACTGTTCCATAAGCAGGGTAACTCCATCAGATTCTCATGGCTCGCATTCCTATCCCTTTATCTACGTTAAAATAAAATAATGACCGATTTTCGTCTCCGCTTGCGCACAACAGACGCACAACAGACGTACAGTTAGCCCGGAGCCCGGAGGTCGGTTAGCTCCATTCTACATCCCAGTAACACACCGGCTAGGGACAGCTCCATCCCACATCCCAGTAAGATATCAGGCCCACCTGCGCCGGCCGAGCCCGTCGTGCGCCTGGCTGCCGCCAGAGGCGTTGCTGTCGGTCCGCTGGCGGCCTACCGAGGCCCTCCGCCCGGAGGAGCCGCCGCCCGACGGTTTGCCGCCGGGAGCGCGCGGGGCGGCGACCGGTGCCGACCGGCTGCAAAACACGAGCAGGACAGTTAGATGGTAATATAGTGTGCTGTTGGTAGCATGACAGGCTAAAAGTCAGCCAGCAGCTGATCCCATTCCTAGACACACTAGACACTGGCTGCCTGACCAGATCGGGACTGAGGACATTTACTGCAACTTCTGATTAGCCAGCCACAGTTTTACATTGAGAGTAATGAATAAAAATGCAGTGAAAGCTTGCAATCTTGGACTATACTACATGGGCAATGCATGGATAGTCTAACCTTCTTGGATCTAACCTTCTTCTTCGACACGGTTTCCTGTCTCTAATAACCCTACCACCATCTGGGCAATGAGCAAGGAAACCTAACAGGTGAGTTCAACAGGTGAGTTGGTTCTAGACTTCACTGAAGCATAAGCTGTTGAGTTTATAAGTGGCTTGATGATTAAATAGAACTAAGATTCACTTATTGATTGATCATATTGAAAAAAAAACTTGTTATCACTCACAACTGGCAGGGCTAACAAAATGACAAAGAAATGTTAACTTAGAGTAAAATTGTTTTCACCAGACTAAAGGAAATGACATGCAATGATCCTTTGTAAAACAGTGGATAAACAAAGGTGTTAACATACCTCGTAGTTGCTGAAGCATCCATATTTGTGCTAGTTGAGGGGCCATCAGCCATACTCATTTCTAGAAGCAAATTTCCTGTGAAAACCAAATACCCAATCATATATGTACTCCCAAAACCAATCCAGTACTTACCTATCACATAAAATGAAGAAGCACAGCATGATATAATTTGATTAAAAAAAGTCCATCCCTTACTATAAGTTGAACATTTTCACAAGGTTCAACTTTCAAATATAATTCAAATATAAGTTGAATTTTTTCACATCTTGAAAATCACCTAATTTCCCTATGAAAATTTCTATTTGCTGATTTCCCTGTTACCATGGCAATCTAAGGCTGTTTTAGCCAAGATTCTTACAGATAGTTTTAGCACCCAAATGAGTCATTCTTGCCACCAGATTTTTATCTGGAGCTCTCCACCTGGCTGCATTGCACCTAACATAAACCTCTGACCTTTCACCTGTTTGACACATAAAACACAACTATAGTGCTAGGCAACAAGTGCCTTCCCAAGTAAAAAAAACAAACAAAAAAAAAACAAGCTTTCAAGCATCACCAAAACACTAAATCCATCAATTACCATCATGTAACAAAGTTCATAACTTGACATCATGCACTATGGAGCCAGTCTGCTACTGACAAGTTGGGACCAAAATGAAGTCAGAATTCTGAGCTTCTTTCAGCTTCTGTGGGATTCCATGTCACCTAGTGATGGATGATATTATGATTAGAAGCAATTGTGTAACTGAATGATATGGTCATGATGACACATTCTTGATTCTAGATAAAATTAGTGCAAATAATTGAAATGGAAATTGATAATTCACAAATTATGAAGTGTAAATGATATTCTAAAGACACATGGAATACTTATTGGTGTACCAGCCTATGCTTCATAGTTCATCCTGTCTGATGATTGTACGATGCTTAGGCTACACGAGCCACGCACAGAACAAAAAAGGCGATACCTGCTTTAGAACTACCAGTTTCTTAAGCTTGAGCTGGGTTGGAAATGAAAATGCAGTCCTCTAAGAGGCAAACAACTCTATGAAAATATGCACCTTTGCCAACATTTTGAGTGACTACCTAGGCAGGTGGCAGCCAAATCCGTGTCCGGACAAAATTTCGTCTGACATTTTTTCGTCGGACAGTTTTTCGTCCGCAGATTTTCGTCCGACTTTTTTCGTCTCGCATTTTTTCGTCCGTACATTTTTTCGTCTGTGCATTTTTTCGTCTGTACATTTTTTCGTCTGTACATTTTTTCGTCCGGACATTTTTTCGTTCGTGTATTTTTTCGTCTGTACATATTTTCGTCCGGACATTTTTTCGTTCAATAAATTTTACGTCTGTTCACCCAAGGTTGAGTGAAAACATACTACAATGCTATTCAACTGTGGAGGCAAATGACGTCATAATAATACTCGGGGCGAAGCAGTGCAGTGCCGAAGGCAATGCCTTAGGAGATTACAGGCAATGGTAAGTGGTTATGCATCAACCACAGATACACAACCACTTAACCTAAAAATATTTGACTTACCATTGCTTGCAATCTATTCATGCAAGTAACTTTTTCCTTATCCCCCGGTAGGCAAACATCAGTAGGTAAGGTTAGGTTAGGTTAGGTTAGGTTAGGTTAGGTTAGGTTAGGTTAGGTTAGGTTAGGTTAGGTTAAGTTAGGTTAGGTTAAATGTTAGGTTAGGTTAAAGGTTAGGTTAGGTTAGGTTAGGTTAGGTTAGGTTACGTTAAAATTGTAGACGAAAAAATGTCCGGACGAAAAAACGCACAGACGAAAAATATACGAACGAAAAAATGTCCGGACGAAAAAATGTACAGACGAAAAAATGTACAGACGAAAAAATGCACAGACGAAAAAATGTACAGACGAAAAAATGCGAGACGAAAAAAAGTCGGACGAAAATCTGCGGACGAAAAATTGTCCGACGAAAATCTGCTGGACGAAAAACCGTCATGGAATCGCCAAATCTGTTTTTTTTTTTTAATAAATTTAGTCCGAACCTTTTGATGGGAAGGATTCACAAGGACAGAGCCACCGCTAAGCGAAGCTTGTTGCGATGACCCTGCCCTCTACCCTCCGATCGCGCAATTCCGATTCTATGGCAGAATTTAGAGTCCAAAGTTTAACGTGCGCACAAAGCCGCGCACGGCCGGTCCCCTCGCTGACTTCTCCTGGCTACGGCCTGCCACCAACCGCAACCATACCTGTCAGGAGGCCCATAAATGTCGAGCGCCCGTCGCGCTTCGAACCCGGACTGTCATAACCGGGAACGCGTGCTCTCACCACGCGGAGTCCAACGCTCTAACCAACTGAGCTACGGGACCGGCTGTGCGCGGCTTTTAATGTTATTTAATGTGTGCTGTGCGCGGCTTTTAATGTTATTTAATGTTATTGTTAACCTAACACTTATCACATCATAGCAAATACAAATCATTCAACACCTCGACCTTCGTCCATGTTCCATTCAGCTCCCAAACACAAATTCAACCAAAATACCATCGAATACTACATATTTAATGCAAAATTACCACAAAATTACCTTATAGTCCTTTACATATGAAGCCATGAAGCCATATTGATATGCGATCCTGGCGCGCACGCAGAAAATTTCCAGTCTGTTCGCTAATAATATGCAAGCTGTTTTCGAAATGACACTACCTATATATGATTTGATATTGTCAAGTTCACTACTGACTAATGAAGAAAGCTATTTCAAAAATTGTAAAAAGTTGTGATAAATGCAAGGTTTTAGAGGAAAAGTTGTCTAAAACATTTTATTTTGGTTAGTATTTTAGCCAGTTGCTATGACAACAAGCTGTCTCACATTCATAATAGAACACAGCCTTTCGCAACCAAAGAATGCACAATGTAATAAAAGCGCCATTACTGTAACAATCATACGATTCCATATGAAGGAAACCAGTCCGTTTTTCGTCTTGCCCGCCTAGCTTGCGCCTAGCAGAAAGCTCCGACCCGAACGATTTCTTGTGAAGTAAAGTCCTCATTCAATTGTTACATCCCTTTGTTTTTAGTGAGCAGTGCATCGAGAACAGCCAGCTCTCAGCAGTCAGCAATCGCGAATCGACAGGAACTTCCAACTGGGGCACCGGTGATGATCTCATGGCTGCAGCGGGCAGCCCACTCCAACAGCAACCCTATCGACTCTCGGTACAAGAAACTAAAAGGGGCGGGTGACCACTGACCTCCCGCCACTATCTGCACTGACGTGGATCCCGCGACAAGGCGCGGAAAGTCGCCATGGAATTTTCCAGTCTAGGTGCAGTGCAGGCAGCTACATGAGCCATTTCAGAATATCAGTTGAAATGAAAAGTAATCAAAGGCCCCCGAACCCTCGCCGTAGGAAAAGGGCATCCCTGCGCTAAAAGACAACCATGTTACACAGAGGCCATTTATTGCCATAAATAGCTTCCAAGCGCATACACCGTTTCAGTAGCTCGAGTCTGTGCCAGCACAAAAAGGCATCGGCATTCTGTGAGGTGTCGATGTTTTATTACAGCGCAATCGCCGTTTCTACATGCGCGTCTTCCGACCCACTGAGTAAACGGCAGCACCGAGGAGACGATGGGTGAGCGGAAAAGTTTACGATTTTACAATTATCAATCTTCATTGCGGTTCTCTATACCGTCTATACAGCCTTGCACAGCGGTTCACTTGTGAACACACAAAAAAAAAAAAACAGCAGCATCGAATATTTCGACTCAGAGCTACATGAAAAACGAGCATGGCACAGAGGCTGGCTATGAAATGGTTATAAACAAAAACTTTGTACACGTGACGCTAAACGAAACTTCGACTTCACAATCAAATAAAGTCCGTAACCGGTTGAAAAGTAGGCAGCAAATCACTCAGCATTTCAGCACAGGAAGATGCAACGCCTTGACCAGCTGCGCACGTCGCTATGCCCGTCAAACAAAGAACATGAAACACATCGAGGCATCGAAGCATATCCGTTTTGATCTATGAGTGATGTTGAAGTTCCGTTGCTGTTGTAGGGAACAGCTGGAATAATCAAACAAAGGTAAAGAATATAGAACGGAAGAGGGACAATCGGCACCGGTTTTGAACAAAAGCCTCTAGGCGAGGCACAGCGATAGTGAATGACAACTCAACCGCTCAGTATCCCATAATTGATATCAAGTACCTATCTCCGCAACTCATTCAATGAGCTTCCGCCATGCGTCCAAACCAGGGAAAACAAACGGGAGACGCTAGGCTAGTAGGATGCGATGAATGCAAGATGACGAAACCCCTCCTATCGCGGCACAATCTTCAGTCCACGAGAGTCATTGATTGCTTGATAGCCGGCTTCTCCACACGCTGCCCGGGTTAGTCATCCTGATCGTCCCTTGTTCCGCAGAGGCAGAATATGAGGCCGATGACGAAGATGATCACTGTGAAAATGGGAGAGCGTATCAGTCGAATGCCTTGCAGAACCTCGCCTGCACATGACGGATATATACCCATCAGTGAGCAATGAAAAGTTTTAGATGCCAACGTGCATGCGATAAAAAAAAAACATGTCAGAGCGTCGACATCAGCGAGCAAACAAATAAACAACTTTAGTAAGTAACAGCCAAGAAATCAATCGGAACGCGAAGGAACAGCGGAACTTTACTTTAAAACTAGCGATAAAACAGAACTTCATTGCTAAATGAAACGCACCAGTTAAAAAACTCCATAAGCACCCTGCATAGCTCCCACCTCTCGTAAAAAAAACGAAGGAAAAACGTCGACGTCCTTAACTCACATCCAATGACGAGTGCCACGGGTCCGACAAAGCCGGCTATGCCCATGTCCTGGATCATGACCATCAGGTAGCTGTCGGTGGGCGCGTAGGCCAGCACGGTCAGTACGAAGCCGGAGACGAGCAGCGAGAAGCCCAGGTAGGTGAGGATGATGATCGGCACGGCACCGATCCTCGAAAACTGCCGGCATAAATTTGGGAGAGGTCAGAAGGGCGATCGGACATAATAGGTAAAAGGGACGTAATTTTTAGTGTACGATAAATTTAGTAGCTTGTGTCGTCGGTTTTCAGTAGCAAAAGCAGCGGGAATGGCTCTGAGACGTGAGTTCTGAGTTCCATTGCAAAGAAAGAATTGCTGGATGACGCCGCGACGAAGTTTATCGCAAGCATGCACGCTAGCTAAGATAAAACGAAAGCGAACGACCGATCAAACTCACCGCAGAGTTGAGAACAACCCATACAACTTTCACTTTCAGCGTAGAATACAAGTGCTCTAGAACATGTCGATGCTTGAAGTTTATGTGTGGCATGTGAGAACGCAGCTTGTCGATCATAGTCATCTTGGATGTGATGAACTTGATACAGTGTTCTAAATAATCACACCACTAGTAACAGGTATTTCCTTTTCCACGGCGTTCGTCATTGAACAGCATCGCCCATTTGAGTACGACTTCAATAGACTTGCCATTTCTCAATATCCTCACACCTAGTTCAGAATGGTCTTTTTACGTTTTTCTATTGAAGCAGATTTACAAAGGGTGATACGATCAGGTGCACCCATTAACTTCCTCGGTCAAAAGTACAGTTCCGATCTTCGCGCCTTCTACCTGCCATGGCCCCATAATCTTAGCCACTTAAGCGTGAGTTTAGCACACCTTTTGCCAAATATATCATGATCTAAAATGACTTGATAGCTCTCATATCCGAAATCTTGCGTCTCTGCTGTTGCCTTCTGTTGTATGTTGTATTTGAAGTCGAACATATTTGGAGTGTATCGAAATTGTCGCTTTGCCTCGCGCATTATGATGTCGACCGCTCCGTTTAGCCCGAGGTGAAACAACGAAAACCGAACGATAAACAAAGGTTCAGTGGCTACGCCTGCTATCGAGGTGAATGGCTTACAGCATACGGACATATCATACAATGATCATACGAACACCGTAGATTTGGCTTGCGAGTTGCATCAGACCGGAGGTACACACATCGCAGCTAAACTATGTCCCGTGAGTCTTATCTAGCGAACACTGATAGACCCTTCTAGTCTTATCATCCATGATAAAACGTTGTGCAACAGATGGACTTTCCTATCATCTAGCTAGGTGTAGAAGCTAATGCCGACCAGGCTTAAAATAACTTTCATCCGCATGTATGTATGTATTTCAGCCTACTTGTCGAACAAAGTGCCTGCCACTTCCTCTCTTGCGAGCATAGCCGGTACACATCAGAGCCGCGACACGGGTGAACAAAGTCAGTAGTCACAGACATATCCAACAAAGCTTAGTTCTACTTGTGCTGCGAGGGACTTTTGAAACTGATCGCAAATATTGCTTCTGACTTTCGTTTGAAAGCGATAGAAAACCACAGCCGTCGAGGCGAAGCGATTTACTCACCGAGTCCAGGACCTCATCCTCATCGTCGTAGCCCCTTTTCATCATCTTGAGGGCCTGTGGTAAACAAACGGAGCTGTTAAAAAGATGATTAACGATCCATCAGTCTCATCAATTTCACTGTGAAGACGAAGCTTAGCTTCAGAATTTGATACAGATTGCGGATGGACCGAAAAAAAAAAACAGCGAATAATGTCAAACCATAGGTTCACAGTGATTTCTTGTATGTACTTCAAATGCAGTTGCATATCAGTACGCAAGCGAATCATTAAGGCATCAGATGAAACCCTCACAAATCAGTGACAGTTGGCCCTACCAGTCAGTCTTCCACATAATCACAACTCACCTGGATATATCTCGCTTGTTCGCTGGTCCTCCCCGCTCTTCTCCCCTCTCCCTTACTTCACCCGATCGCTCTACTTTCACCCGAGGGTGGCTGCGACGCTACGCCGATGGCTGTGGCGACTGAGCTTGAGCGGTGTTCGCCAGCGCTATCGGTCTGCCGGCTATGTGTCAGCGCAGATAGCACAGAGCTGATAGCGTGTGTCCGATACCGCGACAAAGCGCAAATACCTGCTCGCCTCCCGCTGCCTGAAGGCCGGAACCGGCTTATCGCAAGGCACCAGAGCAATGAAACATTTGTATAATCTAACGAGTAACAGAACCTGGAAACAAAAGCATTTTCAGGGGCTAAGGAACGAACCATCCATTTACACGGTTTCTAGTGAGGGAAACATGTTTTACGCCCCCTCGTAGAGTCAGAACGAGCTACTACGACGTTGCGCAGCCCAGTTTTCAGCACCGATAAGCTATCAGGATGCTGACGGGATGACGCACGTTTCACCGATGTTCAACGGCTACAAAGGTGAATCAGTACTCCTGATTGTACCCACACTGGTACTGATTGCGAAGGCTACATGCCATGCCACATTTAAATCAGTGTGCCAACAAATGCCAATACTCCTGGATGAGAACCTATGTGTCAAGCAGCCCATGCCACATCAGTGTTTCGCGGAAAATCGGCTGATTCGACCACGCCACAGCAAGCTGAAACATGACATGAAGACAAATTGAAATGTCATTTTGTATTCGAACAGTGTATATCTACATCACAAATGTTCACAAATGTGCTTGCGCACAAGGCCCACGTTTTTTTGTTGTTGTAAATTTTCAATCATGATTTTTGACAGTTTCTATTTCAGCTAACACAACTTCTTAACCTATAGCCACCGATAGCGTTGAAGCGGACAGAGTTCTACTAAAAGTGTGGATGCTACCAAACGGCTAGCTTGAAAACATTCGCGGTGGCTTTGTCGATTTATTGATACCATGCAAGATGACAGAATGAATACTACCTCCTTACAACACACACACGCACACGCGCGCGTGCACACGCACACGCACACACACAATTGATCATCCGGTTTGACTGCCTTTTGTTGGACCGCTGCGCCGACCCGGGTCCCTATGTGCACGGCCCCCTCACGGACAGTCCAAAATCGCACCCGACCTGGCCTCGGGTCACCGAAATGTGCTTATGTGTCATGTGTACCAGCTGGTAAAATATACACCTCGTGTGCGAACCCGGCTTCACACAGCCTCCCACCCCACACTGGCGATCCCAGGACAGTCTCACTCCAGCTGGGGGACCATCCTCCCCCGCCGCCGGGCGCGGCAGAGTGTAGGCGGTCTCCTCAGCTCCCCATTCTCCGACCATGTTCGTCAGCAGCCGTCAACTGCTCACACAGATTCCTGATCAGCACCGAGAGGCGGTTAAAGAGACCGACGCAGCTGACGGCTCGATGAAGCGGAGCGAGCAGCACCACTCGTGGTGAGTCGACTCTAGCTGTGAACACCCTCTCTCAGTCTCCACACCCACCTGTGCTGCCGCCGCCGCTCCCGGCCCGGCCCGGCCCTGAGACAGCTGCTGGCCCGCTCACCAGCCGGGCCGCTCCCTCCCGGCCAAACGTCGGTCAGGTTTAGTCAGGACAGATCAGACTCGACCGCACCGGCCGCAGAGCGTCCCAGCGGACGATCGAAGATGAAGTGAAACTGGCCAGCCCTCTGGACAGTGAGCTGACCGGTGGACTGGCGGCCGGCTAGAGTCGCTGTGCGCGCAGCGGCAGCAGCAGAGTCTGTGCCGCCATGGCGTCGGGGAACAGGCTGTGGTAGTTGATGAGAGGTACGTAGGCGGCAGTGATCACCTTGCCTGTGGGCGGAGAGGAGGGCAACAGTTAGCTATCAGCTGACCGGGCAGCGTCATGGCCTGGCTGCTCAGTTCGCTGAGAATCACGACGACTGTTAAATCATGGTTGCCGCAACCTGACTGCTACGACAATGAAGGAAAACTACAATGATGCAGTTTTGAATATTTCGGTAATATTCACCCTAATTGTCTGTCTCTTGAATTTACTAATACCAAGAGGTGCCAACGCCCAAAAGTCCGCCCCTGGCTCTCCCATTAACACTGTTTAACTAATCAACCAGCCTTAGACTTAAGCTCAACCCTGATGTCAACCCTCAACCCCCCCCCCCCCCCATTGCCTCAACACTTCCCGTCATTCCACCCCCTTTCCCATCCCTCACTGCAGCAGCCCACACTCACCAGCAAACCATCGTCCGTGCAGAGAGTTGACGGAGGCGGCCGCCGACGCGATGCTTGGACACTTGACGTACACGTTGCCCTGCGGCGACTGCTTATCCACATAGACGTGCGTCACGCCGCCGTGCTTGTTACACTCCTCCACGACGTCGTCGCGGATCTCGGCGTCGAAGTTGGGGTTCTGTGCCACACTGGAATCGGTGGAGAATAGGGAAGGTCGTGAGGTGTTGTGCTGACAAAGTTAACACTAAGAGAGAATGGAAGGTAATATAGGGAATGTAAGGTGATAAAACTGGCTGGCATTCTTGATTTCCATGGATTAGTATTAAATTACGCATTTAAAAAGTCTTTGAGAGCTTACGAAGATAATATAAGCATGGATGATATAAGAATGCAACAACACGAGTATTTATGATATATTGCCCTAGAGGACGAATAACGAAAAGAAAAGACACTCATCATCGAAACAAAGCATAAACAATTATTATACATAACCTACGCAACATGAGACAGTAATATCCTCTAATACCATTCCCACTAAGCCCGTCCGACCCAGCAGTGTCTTTTGTTCCCCTGCCCTCATACTTACGCGGCAGTGTCGAACATGTTGGAGAGCATGAAGCACTGGGTGGCGATGGGCGGCGCGATATTGGACTGGGCAGAGATGCCGCCCATCTGGTTAGAGTTGAGCGCGTTCGCGGCAGCGGTCGGGATCTGCATACCGGTACCTGCCGAACACATGATAGAAAAAATCAGAAAGACGGAATAACAAGCCACATATTGCGACTAAAAACTTGTAATGCCTTGACCTGATTTAGGGTCAATATAGAGGCCCCTGAAGATAGCAACTGCAACAATTTCAATTTCTTACTCTCCCGGCACCACACAGTCTCAACTTTTACCAAGTCTCTGTTCTACCATCTGTTCTACCATCTTCTTCATCCTACACTAGCACTCCTCCAACTGAACATCTCAGTTCCTACTTCGAACCCAACTGCTTCTAATTGCACAACCTAGCAACGTCTCGCTTCCGCTCATCTCAGAGACGAATAACCAGCCCCACAATCTGCTTCTCTCAGTAATAAATCTCCACACCAACCCTCCGCCCACTTAAAGTCCCTCCCCTCAGTCTTTATTTAGACTCCCCTCAGTCTTTCAAAGTCTCTCACTGACTCACCTTCAGCCAGTTTGGCCATCAGCTGTAGGCGGCCGGTCGCGCCCAGGTCCACGCCCGACCGGTCCATTTCGTCCGAGTCGAGCAGGTTCGGTCCACCGGCCGCCACCTCGGAGCGCTCCGTGACGTGGCCCACCTTCATCGGCCGGCCGGCCAGCTCGAAACCGTTCAGCTTCTCCAGCGCGCGCTTAGCGTCCTCGGCGTTATGGAACTGAAAGCGAAATGACAAAACAGAGAGAGGGTTAGTTTAGACGCTGCGATGGTGATAATTGATAGGATTATAAGGTTGGTGCTCACAAAATGCTGAGATAATGGTAAATTGAGAATATGCGCAAGCCGTCAAACTTATTATCCTCCAACTGTGCAGCAGTCTTCAGAAACAACCAAGTTAATAATGGTCATATCATAAGCAATGACCATCGGCAGCTGCCATTTTATCATATTCTTTATCTAACGACAATATGCTAAACAGCTCCGCCTCAGTCCACCAACACGCTTCCAGCACTCTCTGCCGTGATCCAGGACCCACTCCACTCACCGTGAGGAAGCCGTATCCGCGCGACCGGCCCGTCTGCGAGTCCATGATCAGCTGGATGTCGTCGATCTTGCCGAACGGCTCGAAGATGCCCTTCAGCATCTCCTCGGTGATGTTGAAGTGCAGCGAGCCCACGTAGAGGCGCATCGAGCCGCTGGCGTTGGGCCGCGCGGTGTTGCCGGCCTGTGCGGCGGCCGCTGCCGCCCGGTTCTTCTCAGCCTGGCGGTGGTCGAGGGAAGGGTCAGTCGTAACCGGGGACGGGCTCGGACTTCGGAGTTAACGGGACGTGCAGGTTAGCGAGTGACTGAGGAGTGGTCACTGGTCAGTGGTCCGTCTGACAGACCAGGAGAAGTACAGCGATACAACGGAGCCGCCAGCTTTCCTACACGTCTGCATCATACACGAATACAAATGTAAATGCCGTACAAAGTACAGAGAGCTAGGATACAGAGACTGAAAATCAACTAGGGATTTAGAGGGAAATGAGTGACATAGGAAACTTATCACGCTTAAATGGGTGACCTTTGGTGACCCGTGGATACAAGCGTGTCGACATTTACGGCATACGACCATACCTGCAACATTTAAGCAGTAGACTGAATAACAACATGAACAAACCTCCAGCTCTGGCCAATATCCAGAGGCGGAACTCAGTTCCACTACCATTCACCTCCCACAGCTGCAGCTACCCCATGAGTGCTCACCTGCGAAGGCTGTACCATGATGGGAATACCGAGCAGCTTCTGGCCCGTCAGTCCCAGCGCCAGTGGCACCGACTCCACGTCCTTAAACTCGACGTACACGATGCCCTTGAAGCGGCGGGTCTTGTTGCACATGATCATGCGCACGTCAGTCACCTGCGAGGCAGCGAGGAGAAGAACAGGTGAAGTCGATATCACCGACATTTGGCTGGCAGTGAAGATGCGGTGGCTCCACGCTATATTTACGTCTCGTATTGGACTGCCAGCCCGAGTAAATAAAGTAATATTTCCAAGTTTGTGATTAGCAGCTGATAAAATCAAAGTGAGACGATTTTTTAAAGGTATTTAGGCTTCATTGAACAGGGCTATCGTCACCAAATATTTGATGGGATAAATCTAAGCTTACTGCAACGAACAAGCCAGTATCTGATCCCCAGCTACATCAAGTTCAAAAATAAAGCTGAAGAGTGCCATATCAATACTATAGCAGACAAGAACGGACGTTAGAGGACGGCTCGCCATACCTTTCCGACTGAGGAGAAGAACTCCTCGACGTCTTTTGTCTTGAGCCGCTGCGACACCTGCATGCAGAGCACGGTGCGCGCGTCGCGCTCCTCCGGCGTCATGTCCATGCGCTTGCTGCAGACGAAGGCACACAGAGCACGGCGGTTACATTACGGGTAGACCATCGGACGGCAGAAGCACGACTCGCTTATAATTGAATTGAACTACAGCTGGAATAGTTCATAGAAATATCAATCATCGAGCAGAACGGAGTTCTATATCGGTGAAGAGGTGACTGAATATAACAACGTAATGTAATGCTTACTTTGATTACCTAAGTAGTATTTACATTTAAATGTGTAATGTTTACTTTAGACCAGTTGCTGAATGGTTCGACAACGAAGCTCTATACACATACCTAGTTATAAACAAACTTAAGTTTTATTTAGTTCGCCATAGGTAGCGAGATCTGTCCGGTTTTGTGAAGCAGCAGTGTTCATGATCGGCAAACATGTTGAACATACATTATAACGAGAAACATCACGCCGAATGTTACAGGTCATGGGACCCATGACCTGTAGACATGGGAAATGGATCAGTCAGTACGCCGAGCTTACCCCCTCCCCCCCCCGCGTCCCTCACCTCCTTCCACTGGCGCCGTGCCGCGGCGAGCGGCCCCGCCACCGGCCGTAGCCGCGGCCACCGCGGTCCCGACTCCGGCTCCGCGAGCGGCGCCGGTCGCGCGACCGCGACCGGTGGCGACGGCTGCGATCGCGACTCCGCGAGCGCGAGCGCGAGCGGCGCCGGCGACTGTCGCGGTCCTTCTCGCGGTCACGGTCCTTGCTGCGGCGGCGCCGGTCGCGGCTCTTGCTGCGCGAGCGGCTCCGATGCCTGCTGCTGCTGCTGCGCGCACGGCCGAAGGTGAGGCACGGGGAAATCGGGAGTGTGAGGGGCACGGCAAACGAGAAGATAGCTCGTCGGGTAGGTACGTCAATCACAATGATCAGTAATGAAGAATACCGCGTAACGTGAACTTGTGCGAAGTGATTTATTAAATGGTAATCAAAGTGAAAGTCAAAATGGGTGGGTCGCGGCGACGAATAACATGACACTCGGCTCAGCATAAAATACCTTTCAACTTATGCATCAATAGTAAGCGATTTACTGTACAAATGTCGAACTAGTATTGACACATCCTGTGACACTTTACGTTGGTATGGAGACTCGCAGATACACTGTGATTGTGTGGTGGTCCAGGATCAACTGCAACTTCATAAAAATACGTGAGCAAAACTTTCCCGTCCAAAACAGCATTGTGGCAACTTGATTCAAACATTGAACATTAGAGTAGGCATCACACCATTTTCATTACATTTTATTTTCAAAGGGGTTCTAATCAACCTCAACAAACGAAGAAACCTTTTAAAAGATAGAGTTTTGAAATAATCCAAGTCTACCTTTAAATAGTTACGGGATCGTATGGCTAAAAAACGAAAATATAATTATAAGTGACCCATCTACCATTACTTATGAAAATGGCATCCCCGACTGAGTCAGCTCCCTGCGCCGCCGACAGCGACAACTCACCTCTTGGACTTCTCGGAGCTCTTGGTGCCATTCTCGTAGCCCTTGTCGACAGAGTCCTACAGCAGGACAGCACGCGGTGAGCGGACGGCGAGCGGACGCGTGAGAAAGGAGGAGCACACATCAATCACACTCTGAGTCGACACAGAGCGCGCGCGCGGCCCGGCCCGGCGCGCGCGTACACAGACACACAGCGAGGGACAAACGGCTGACGGCAGGGTGGCAGTGCCGGCCGGCTGTGCGCACCAGCGAGCGAGCGCTCCCCGCCCGGGCCCATACAAACCTTTTCTTAACGCGCGACCGCTATAAGGCCGAAGAAATGCAACACACAATCTGCAAAATATCCTGGATTCAGTGGTAGCACATGATGGCATGGGCAGTGAGCAAAGCAGTCCAACACTATCCAAGTGAACCAAATCACTCAGCCGACCATCATAGAACAGTCAGAGGGCAAAATGTATTCAAAAGACTGATAAGGTGAAATACCAAGGTGAAGGCAGCTGGACATAAAAGGATAAATAATTTCATTAACATATGTCATTGAACTGGCTTAAAAAAGATTGAACCATCAAATTTTTGATACACACTCAAAACGTTACGAAGAAAATATCAAAACATTGAGGATTGCAGCATTCCATTGTGTGTGTGTGTGCATTACCTGCTTACTCTCAACATATTATGCAATTGACTAAGAGATCCAATTACCAAGAATGTGACAAGAATCGACCATCAAAGTCCGCTGTCTATCATATTCTGCAACGATGGTAATGAGCATAAAACATAACAGCATGAAAAAAGAATGATGCACACAGGATGCATAAAACATGTGAAATTTCAAATGACTTTACTTTACTGACCAAATGCAGGAAATTTCACAAAAGCATTACCATTCATTTAAGCTTCACATCAAGGTTTGACACAAACGGCAAATGTTATGGGTAGGTATACCAAAACACTCACACTTGGCATTTCACCTATCAGTAGGCTGCACCATTGCATTTGGCTTTGACTAGCAGATGTAAAACTGATCAGGTAACAGCTGAACCTCTACCTTGCAAAGAAGTTTAACTTTCATCTGCATTTGAGACATCAAATTGACCTAGAGGTCAATTAGAGAGCTCTTAAAACACACTGACTTGGATGTAGGCATCCGAAACTATTAATTAGAATAGGTACTACCATATGGATAGCGCTTCCAGCCAGCATACATATGCATACAATCATGTATGCACACAATCATGAGGAGTCAAGCACATGGGCTGAGTGGGTAGGGGAGGAAGAGAGAACGGGTGTTTGGGGGGCTTGCAGGTCTCGCATGAGCTCTGACGCGTCGTCGCACACAATACGGTGATGGTGTTGGTGATGGTACCTAAGAGAAATGGTCTTCGGTTCCGCTAACAATTACAACTGACAAGGGATCTGAAACACAGACGAAACACCGGTAGAAGTCGGCAATCGTATGTGACATCGGTCATAGGCTTAACACCTTTATCCTTCAGAGACACAAGGTCCACTGGTGCACCAAAATCATCCAGGCGGCGCAGCTCACAATCATGGCATTGCAAATGAAAGTTTTAAGATGAAATCATCAATAGGTAAGTGAAGTATTTTAACCACACACACCATACAACATCAAGGAATCTATGAAAATATTGAGGGTATTATGTGATCCGTACCTTTTTTGTGTATGGCGCCTCCAGCAGCTCATGAACATCCAGATCATCAGCCATAGTTGAAGAATGAATAGAACACTGAAAACAAAGCAGACAAGAAATAATGAACCAGAGAAACTCTCTCCCTGAATAAAAGAAAAACTGGAAGCTTCTCCTTGGATAAGACAGGCCCTAGAGTAGAGAAAATGAGGCCGGATTCTGGCTGGCGGCTGCCCTAAACACCTCTTCGAGCTGGCTACCATCTTTTTTAGACTGAGACTGGTTCCATAGTCCATACCTATAAGTGTAGCTCCGAAACACATGCAAGCACTCAACCAAATAATTTTTGCCCGTGCACCATACAGGGAATAAGCCTTGTTTCAGATTTCAATGATCTCATAGCAGGCGTCTCAGCCGCTGGCACCCTTTGTAAAAAGTTACTAGACTCACCAGTCCTTCAGATATTTGCACAAATTTCACATATACCTCGGTCAATTAGGGCAATTACATAGTGATATTAAAAAATAGTTCTGTTAGTTTTAGGTTGAAAGTAGTAAAGCAGGCGTCACACTTGTTTTTTTTTTCTTCTTACCAAGGGGAGGCGCTGTGGGTTAGGTTGTAGGTTTTAGGTGGCATGGGACAGGTACAAACGGGATATACACACTCACGGACGTTATAGGTCTGCGATTTGCCGGACATCGCTCACCAATTTTCCCAAGTTAACCAGGAGTATCGTACCTTTGCACCGCGTTCACACTAGGTCGCGTACGAAAGGTCGATACTTACAAAGATGAAAGAAAATCCAAAGCTTTTCCACGCGTATATCCGCAACAAGAAGATATTTCGCTCGACAGTAGGTCCCCTGAGACTTCGATCAGGAGGTCTGACAGATGATCCGACGGAAATGGCGAGTGTTTTTCATCTTCGTTTGCTGGTGTATGTCACCGAGACAGCGAGGTTCCAAACAACCCTGCCGAATGCCAGGTATCCGGAGCAGCTTTTGGTCACTTGGACCTGACCACCTGAGACGTAGAACAGGTACTGCTCAACCTTGACGGTAACTGATGGTATCAGTGTTTTATTTGCTGACTTCATCTGTCATTGGGGTAACGCCCATTGGTGAAAAAGGAATAAATGGAATGAAATGAAATGAAACTCTGCGATGGGTCCAGATCACCTTCACCCCATGCTACTGAAGTCATGTGCAACTCATCTTGCTTACCCCTTTCACGTCATCTTCTGCCGGTCCATGAACGAGAGGCTTCTGTCAGCACAATGGAAGAAATCCGTAGTCATCCCCAGCTTTAAGAAGGGCTTGAGATATGACGCGCTGAATTATAGGCCAATTAGCTTGACCTCCGTTCCTTGTAAGTGCTTAGAAAAACTCATCTCCCGCGCCCTTTACGTTTTCCTTACTGATAACAACATTCTAACCAATGAGCAGTTTGGTTTTCAACCTAGGAGATCGACAGATGACCAGCTCCTCCTGACATACAACGATGTATCTTCCTGGCTAGACGAGGGCGCATTGGACCTCATTTTATTTGACTTTTCCAAGACCTTCGATGTGGTCTGTCATTCGATCTTGCTCCATAAACTAAAGTGTATCGGTGTAGACGGCCAAGTACTCTGCTGGATACACTAATTTCTCGTAGGCCGCTCCATGACTGTATCAGTAAAAGATGTTTACAGCCAACCAGGGGGAGTCCTAAGTGGAGTCCCTCGACTGGATCATTTTATCTCTTATTTACATCAACCACCTCGCCAGTCGCCACATATCTCTCGTGTAAGTGTAAACTATTCGCTGACGACCTGAAAATCTATATGCAACTCGGTAAAGGTAGTTAGCTCGTATCAAACGGACCAAAACACGCTTCAGCGAAACATCAACACACTGCACGACACAGCCAGGTCATGGGGTCTAACCATGAACCTCAAAAAATGCTTTTGTCTCAGGTTCCAACACCGTTTTCACGATATTTCACGCCTTCGTACACACTTGGTGGTAAAGCGATTGTGACGATCCATTCGCAGACTGATCTTGGTGTTACCGTGGACGACAGTCTCAAGTTCCATGAGCATGCTCGTGATGTAACCAGGAAAGCCGGAGGTCTCGCCAAGAACCTCCTAAAGTCTACGGTTTGTCGTTCGGGTGACTTCATGACAGAAGTTTTTAAGGTCGCACATTAGCCCAATACTGGAGTATGCGTCACTGGTATGGAACGCAGAATACCATCAGGAATTGAAGAAACTAGAGAGCGGAGCGTCCAAGGACTTTGGACCTGCCAGGTGTTTTGACTCGAGAATGCCAACTACAGAACTCGATTACGCGAGCTTAAGATGTACTCTGTCAAAGAGAGACTGCTCAGGGCTGACCTGATTAAACGCTGAAAGATTTTCCATGGCAATGTACCATCAATCCTGCAGACTTGTGGATAATTGATCCCCCTACTAGAATGCGAGGTCACATGTTCAAGGTCCAGTGCAGGAGATGGCAGATTGACGCAAGAGCCCGCTTTATCAGAGTAAGAGTTGTCCGCGATTGGAACTCTGCCCACCTCTACAGTCTGTTCAAAATCATTATTTAGTCAAACATCTCAACCTTCTGCATCCTTTACATATGCCAACCTTAGCCCTTTTCTGCCGTGGAAGGTGCCTCCACTTCGTCAAGAGAAGTGGAGGTAAGATGCACCACAGTTCCGGACACTAATCCTCCATGTTCCTAATTTCCTTACAATAACCACCACTATGTCCTATCACGCTACACACATTTTCGTCGTTGCCTTTTGACTCGTCTTCCTAGCGTGCTTGGCGCTGCTTGTTTGATTGACTTGACCAACTTTTGAACACTAAATACGACAGCACATCCGCATTGCAGATGCACACCTCTGCCTCACAAACCACTTGAAACATAACATTTATTTTGAGCTGGCAGGTCTATCTGAAATCGATTTCCTTTCACTGCCATCCATCTACCTGTCCAATTCACATGGCTGAGGCGGGAAACCTACCAGACCAGGTGAGTTGACCAGGTCAGTTGGTAGGTTTTAGGTTTTAGGTTGCAGGTAAGGCTAGGTCAAAGGACTAAGGTCAAGTTTGGTTAAGTTTGGCTTGACTTGATTAGAAAGCATCTCTGGGTACAGCGCCTCTCCTTGGTTGGAAAAGTAACGCCTGTTTTACAGCCACAGTTAAAGTCTATGCTAGATAACCTTAGATCTAAATATATCATTTTAACTGTAGGTAGTAGGTACCAAATGCAAAAATTAAATATTCATATCCAGCCAAACCAAACCCATCCTAAAACTTACAGCCTACACCTTATTTACTTCTATACCTACCTGACAGGGCTCACAGGGGCACTAAATAAAAATCATTTGTGTCTCCTGAGGACTGTTCACGGGCCCTGTGTGCGGTCGCACCGCACGCAGCCTCTAAGCTTGAGCTCTGCCCAGTGCCCACTGCGTCCCTACGTCAACCTTCCGTCACCGCACACAGCGACAGCTGTGGCCAGTCGGGACTTGCCACAGCAGACAGTCCACCACACGCAGCTGTAACGTCACAACCACCTACCCATCCCCTGCCCCCATGCCTGGTAGATGCAGATGCAGATGAGTCTTCGGGGGAATAGCCTTTGCATCGGCTCCCCCATAGGTGCCCTATTTGGTTATAGGGGTACTGGGAAAAGGATGAGGATGGAGGCTGCATGTCTTTCTACATTTGCTCATGTTCCTTCCAGACGCTTTTGACGGATTCTCCATAGACAGTGCAGCTTCTCCTTCCTCTCTTCCGCATCCTCTTCCCGTTCGTCATTGAAGAGAAAGTCTCTCATGATCTCCTGAGTGTCTTCTATGTGAGGTCGTTGTAGGGACTCGATATTACTTCTAACATCCATGAGTCTGTTACATTTCAATAGAAAGTGCTCCATGTCTTCATTCTCCTCTCCACATAGTTGGCATAATGTGTCTTCATCGGTGTGTCGTCTTCTTTCTTGTAGGGGTAGCGAATTCGTTCTAGCTCGAAAGAGAGTGACCGCTGCTGGGGTGTTGTCATAGATAGTCTCTTCTCTTATACGTTGTTTGCTTGCTTTGTATAGCTGTAGGCTTACTTTGCTTCCTATTTCTTCCATCCATTGTTTTGCATCCCATTTGTTTATTTCTTTGTCTATATCCTTTTTGCTTTTATCTTTTAGGGCATGTAATCTTATTTGCAGTGATGACAGGTACTTCTCGGTTGTTTTCGCCCATTTGCTTTCTTTCCTTTCAAGCTCTATTTCCATTACTTTCTTTAGTAGTTCATTTCGTCCTTGCAGTGTCGTTCTTATATATTGAAGGTGACTTTCATTATTCTTGTCTTCATTAGTGATGAACCGATTTCTCCTCTTAATGTCCTCTTAATGGTGCACACACTGCACACAACACACTCAGCAGTTTGTGGTGCCCATAAACACCCCTCTGAAAATGAGCCAATTTGGAAACAGCATTCATTCACAAAGTAGGGCACAGGTGTGCCTTTTACCGATGTTATTGAACTCAGAAAATTCTGGGGAACTCAACCATGTGCAATCTATACCTATTCCTGACAATTTTTGAAAGCCTGATCCCTTAAAAGAAAAAACGAATTCAGTCGGTGACACACCAGGGAAATAAGCTAAAATTAGAGCGCTCTATTTATTGCTCCCGCTACTTCACCGTCTCCCATAGGGTCCTGTGTTGAGCTGGTGTCGAGGCTCTAAAAATGACGCCGATTTTTGCACCCTTCTCACGAAAACCGCTCGGACCGCCTGGAAACTAATTGTTCCGCTCTAAAAATTTCATGATCGACGGGAAAATGAATGAGGAAAAGATTGGTCCTGAAATAATTCTGAACTCCCTGTAGAACATATCGAAATATGGCTGCAAACTAGGAGCATGTCAAAATCGACAAAACAATACAAATAAACTTGCCGGGATTTTATTATTTTCCATGCATCTCAGTAGGCGGAACTATGGTCATGAGTACCCAAATATAGGAACGTTCCCATTTTTGGGAACGGAGTTCCCAAATATGGGAACGGGCGTTCCCATTTATGGGAACGGAAGGTAATTTTTCGTCCGTTCGCCCACTAAAACTCATTAGTGCATCACGTCTCAAAAAAGTGCACGCTAATTTAAGTATCTACTAAGTCTCTATAAAATTATCTTTAATCTGACCGTTGCACAAGGAAATTGACCGTCGAATGATATTTTTAATGATTTTTTGAAATGACGGAATGGTGAAAACATGGGTTATACTACATTTAACTTGCAATTTTAAGGAAAATGAAGCGTTTTTTACATTTTGAGGTCAAGTATAAAAATTTTCGCCTGGTTATGAAGTTTCATACTGGCGACACCAGATGCTGACATATGCAAGCGAACACGCGGACAGTCCGGGGGTAATATTGGTGACATTTGGTGTCGGGGCGCACGACCGCATGGAACGTCAGTGATTTTACCGAACTACTGTTGTAAACTCAGTTTCAGTGGTTTAAAATTATTCAGCTGTATTATATCATGCCAGATAGACATATTTTATTTGGATGCTAGCTGTTTAGAGTTGTTTTATAAGGAGCGTCATGAGCGTGGTTTTTGTCTTCCGTGTTTCTAAGCGTGATCGTTTTGGGGGAATTTCTCTTATATAGGTCGCTCTGTGTGGCTTATTTATAATTTTTATGCTGATTTCGATCATTCCTCGTGCCCATCCTACCAGGCCTTTTGCCACTTACACTCATTAAGAAAGGAAAAAACTAGATTGTCATTGGGACTAGGTGTTTTGAGGGTGTAACATATTCAGCGTTCCCATTTTTGGATACTTCCTTGTGCTCGTAACTATCGGTGATAAACAGACAGGTGCTTGACATGTCTCCACCCTCGGCGCGGACGGTGGATATAGGTATGGAAGACCTTGTTGAACATCGCTGAGCGTTGTGAATTGCATAATCCTGCAGAGGGGGGCGTGCCCGCTGCGAGATCGACGGGAATAAAAGCGCAGAAGACCGGGCGAAACATGCAACGGTCTTGCCGGAAAGGTCATCTGATGATTGTTGCGTTTACAATAATTTGCGGCGTTGGACGTGATGCTTGTTAATGAAAAGAGCCCCTGAAAGGCGTCGGTGAAATCGTTCCCAATTTTGGGTACGCCGTTCCCATAATAAGGAACGCTTGCAGCGCCAGTGTACGAGAGCGTTCCCAAATTTGGGCTCGCGGCCCGGATGATGGACTGCTTTAGAAATAGGGGAACGATTTGAAACTACGATGGGCCTTACAATATCAAACTCTTTCCCAACAATATTGAGACAAATATCAGGCGGTTCACGATCGTTTTATATTTTTTGGACGTCATTTAACGGTTCTTTTTCTTGTTTTAAATAATGCCTACATGGCGTTCCCATATTTGGGTTTATCGTTCCCAAACATGGGAACGAAAATGCGTTCCCGAAAATGGGTACGCTTGACCATAGTTTCGCCTACTGATCTGTGTATGAAATCAGTCGGTTTTTTGGAAAGATCATCTTCTGTTTAATAAATAATTCCACAATTGCAATCGAGAAAAAAAAAACATTTCCGCTGTGACAGCAGTTTTGGCATTGTGCCAGTAGTGTGGCGTGCGCGGTGCTGCGTGGTCGTCGGGACGGAGTTGTGAGTATTTTCGGTGTTTTAAATGGTTGATGGCCATTTGAACCAGCTTATTATTATTTCCTACAAATTTTTGCATCAAATTATTGTTTTGAAAGACAATTGAAACCCCTTATCTCTTCATGAAACACGATCATATTCATCGTCGACGAAAATGGCGCGGGACTCCATGTGCATTCCGATCGAAATAAATCGTAAATTAAATAATATTCGATGATAAGTATCATATTCTAGTGACACATTTTCATAAAATAAGGCATAAACTTTGCAAGGAAGTCAACATTGGATAATTGGATTCTTATTTTGCTCACATATCCTTGTAATAGTCAAATGGCTCAATTGTTAGATAGATGTAAGGATATGTTTTGGCTTGATGTTTGATGTGAAACCACCCAGCCACTTGCTGGTTGAGTGGTTTTCTGATAATTACCTGATAATCATTTCTCCTTTTCCTTAAAAGAAACTAAAATTCCTTTCAAAGTAATCCATTTTAAGGAAAGGCGGCTTGCTCATTGGCATTTCATGTTCTTGTTTTGTTATTGCTGGGCGCTGGCAGTATTTTGATACAATAATGCAATATGAATTTTTTGCAATAATAAAACCTAAGACAAACTTAGTTAATGTGTCAATCAAACACCCAACAGAAAGATTGTGAGTCCTTGTGACGTGAAGTAGAATATTCTATGAATGTGTTATATAGAATATGCCAAATATTAAATTAATTATTATTTGATACTGATAGCTGAGCAGGTGAATTATGCCACAATATAATTTCATTTTCTGGTTTTGAAATAGCCGGCAGTATTTTACTTCAACAAATGTAATATACATGGAATACATGTTGTTATGTTACCTATGTTAAAAGTTTAATAACAGCCAACAGAAGGAGCTGTTTCAGCAGATAATGTTTGTACCTTATGCATTACCTTTCTTTTCTGCAGGACCATGCTTCCGCTGGGTGGTCGACATTTGCCTCCTGAAGAAGTTGAGCAACATGAAGACCACCAGATGAGGTGTCTGCAGTTCATGTGGAACTCTGCAGACTACAAGTGTTATGCCAACCACAACCAAAGTGCTGTGATCATGGAGGCATGAACCTCATGACAACACTTCAGATTTGCAGTTGAACCATTCCAAAGTGTGATTCAAACCACCTGTGGCATCTCACTCAATGTGTGAACAGTGTGATTATTGTGCAGTGTTCAGCTGCAACTAAGACATTTATTAGTGACTTGTTTTGCAATTAGCCACCAAAAACATTTTTTGGGCTGGCTGCTGTAATTTGTTGTGCACTGCGCAATAGTGGTAGTGTTTTGTCACTTCTCAAGTTGTCAGTTGTGCATGTTGCATGTTTCTCTTCCCTCGGCCCTCATTATCAGTTAAGTGGTGAATTGGCATCACTCAGTCTCCCCAGATCTCCATTGACTGTCTGTCAACCACCTAACTTGGGATGGTATTTGCTAATAGTGTCAGAAAAGAAGTGATTGTAGACATTTTTAGGAATATGAGCTCCGTTTCATGCGTGTTCCAGTGGTCATTTTGTCACATGTCCCATAGTGTAATAAATGGAAACTGTTGTTCCCTTTTGAAGGTACTCGCGGATGCAGAAAGCGTTGGGCCTAATTATTAAACGCACCCTCCTATCAGCGACGCACGAAATCGACAAATATCATCCTTTTTAGAACAGGAGGAAACGAAAACTTGGGAGTTTTTGAAATTCGGAGAAACTCGAGTTGTCGACAGGTATGCCCCCTTGCACGTCAAAGACCGCCTAAAAACAAACGTCTACAAATGAAGGCAGTATTCGTATGTTCGTTGTAATTGCAGCAGCCTAGCAACATGTATTGCGGTCCGATGGCGAATTACACTCGTGCTCAAAAACTATGCCGGTAACTGCCAATGCACTTAGGTCATAGGTGAGGAGAGGAAGGGTTATGTCATATGTCATCATAGAAATAGCTTCATCTGAGCTGTGCCTATTGTACATAATTCAACCAATCTATGCATTTCGTTTCTTGCAATCTACTCATGCTTTCACTCCAGCTTCAGAGTAATCATCCCATATTGTACGTCTTAAGATATTGATTTCTATGGCGGTTTGCAATTACTAGCCACGTCTCACCTCAGTTTGGTGGCCCCGCATCGGCCCACTCGGCCGCTCTAAAATTGACTTACGGAGGAGGATGGTGGCTTTTATTTTAGCTTCTCCGCCGACTGCGGGGAGCGCCGTCGCCGAGGTAGGAGCAATAATTAGCTTATGTTTAGGACTAATTTCCACGCTTAATTAACATTTTAATGTTATTTTAATTAATTCATGTTAATCTTTGACGCATTCTCTTTCTATTGATACCATACACCGGTCTGAGAATTACTGCCTTGCTGCGTAAGGGCTGATAAAAGATCACGCTTTTAGGGGTATCTCTTCAACATGGGGCAGGAGCAATAAATAGAGCGCTCTAATTTTAGCTTATTTCCCTGGTATGTCACCAACTGAATTAAAGACATCAAACCACGCGTAGACAAATGTGACGCATGTCACTTGAAACACTGAAGTGAAACGCTGCTTTTTAATTGACAACAACCTCGTTGTGAAGACAGCAAAGGAAGCCAAAATAACAATAATATGCAGGGAGAAATTAACTCATCCGTATCCGAATTATTTACCTATGAGAAGCCGAAACCGTCCGAGCGCACCGACTAAGCGGCTGGAACTTGGAACGACCATTGGACCGCAAATTTCACAAGCTGACTGAAGTTGCTTGGAAAGGACGATACAATTTACACTAAATATTTTTTGAAATGTTAAATAACAGAGTTAAATAGGGAAATACTGACCTATTCTTTTTACAAATATAGGTGTACCAAGGGTGTACTTCCAAATTTTCGTCACGCAGCCCCACGCCGGATTCGCCGCCTTCCTCCTCTTTTAACAAACCAAGGCTATAGAACAACAAACTCCATACATCGATCCAATATCATCCATCAGTCCTGTGACGTCATTGGTTCGATAAAGACCTTTTCGCGCCGCTCGACCTAAGTTCTCTATATATACCGTGAATAATTGACCATATGTATCTTGGCTCGACCTCTCCTATCGAATCACTCTCGTAAAACCCCTGCGTAAAACCACCGATATGCATAGGTGGCGGAGCGGGGAGGCACCGGGCACCGTGCCTCCTTTGATTTTGGCATTCTAACATTAGCCCTATGGGCGTTGCATGAAAAGAATGGGACCAAAAGTCGGCAGTGTCCCCCCCCCCCCTAATTGAAGGTGTTCCGCCGCTACTGCCGATATGCGAACAGGGAAGGTAAAGGTGAAGCAAAGGTAAAAAGCACTGGTGCCCTGCCGTTTGCAGCTCGTCGCCCCAATATACAAACAATAATACTACACTTACCTCTAGCTTCACTTTTGGTAGGTACTAGGAAGGAAATAAAATCAAGTAGCATGAAGCAATCCAATAGTTCTGCTCAAGCTCAAATAATATATTTACAAATGGTGACAAGTTTTACACATTCTATACTCGTGCTAGATGCTAAGTGGGCAGCTGTGATGATACCGAGCACCAGGTGTCGTGAAATTGACATTTGACACTACAAATCGCGCACACATACACACAAAAACGCATTTTCAAGCCTCATGTCACAACAAAGGGCGGTGGAACGCATGCTGCTGAGCAACTTTCCTCCCAGAAACATCACAGGTAGGTTGATAATACTTGCAAACGCTTCAGCCAAGTTATCAAGTAATCATATGCTACACTTCACGCAAAAAGACAATGCTATCGAAGAACAGAACAATTGAAGACCTCCCAGGTTCACTCGATCGTGAAAGTCCCCGTTTCGATGAAGGCTCGCATATCGGAGCAGTCCATGTCCACGACCATGTTCACGGTTTCACTCTTCTTTTTCGAGGGGCGTCCACGCTTACGCTTTCCTTCTGAGGCACACTGGTCTGATTCCAAAGTGGGCGGTGGCAGCGTAACCAAACCAAGTGCCGAACCGATCGCCAGTATGTGTTCACACAACTTCGCGGAGAAGAACTTTGGGCATGAGCAGCGCATGTGCGAGATGTCAGACTTGTCTCCTGTGTCCACTACCTTCCAAAGAGACATCCTAGCCTCCACAAACTCGTCAAATGACTTCACTTCCCCACCCATCTTCTTCTCAAAAGCCTCCACTTCTTTGACCGTGGCGGCCCTCTGATCGCCAACGGGGACATAGATTGCCGAATCAATGTCCACCATGGTCTTTTCATCGGTCTGAAGTTGGTAAGTGTCGCTCAAGAGCTCCGTGTCGGGTGTGATGCTGTGCTCCAGCTGTCCGATTTCGCTCACACCGCAAGACCACTCAAGCACCAGCTCCTGTGCCAGAGTGAGGTAGCGTTCGGGTGGCAGACGTTCCCTCAGCGTGTGTCTGTTCTTCACCGCGTTGACGGCGTGCATCAGGCCCCTGTTGGAGCTTTGTGAGGCAACATCAAAGCCCTCGTACCATTCTGGATGGAGCTTCACAAACCGCTCTTCGAATCTGCCCGGGAGGTCAGATGAAGGCAGTAGCCCACGCCATTTCTCGAGCATGAGTTTAGCAGCTAGCTCGAACTGCTTCTGGTCACAGGAGAGTCGAAGTGAGCCGACGTCCTTTTCTAGAGTATCTCGTATCTCTTTGTCAATGGGTTTGAGCAGAGCACTCAGCTCTTTCTTGACTTGAAGCCAACACATGCGCCTTGCAGCATTTGGAAAGACGCTCTTCACGGCGTCCGCGACATTGGGATCACCGTTCCCGATGACACAGCTGGGCTGAAATGCAGTGCCTGACGATGCCTCCACGCACTTCTTCAGTACGGTCAGCATCTGCAAATAGTTGTCCGCCGTCTCGTGGCTGATGACTGCGAACATCACAGGAAAGAACATTCCATTGACATCGCTAACGCCAACAAACAGGACGGGGGCGCCGAACCACTTCATACGATGGGAAGCATCCACGCTGAGCGTTGATGCCTGAGCAGCAAACTTCATGAGCCTTTTGGAACTGAGAATGAACCGGAACTGTCGCGAACGAGCATCCGTGTGGTGATCAAAAACGTAGACACGATCAACGTCTCCAACTAGAGCGGCCGTTGGCTTAGTAATGGAGTGTTCTGCGCACCACTCTTCCAGGGAGTTGATGGGAAGAGTAGGCGTTGGAAGTTTGTTGCGCTTCTTCAGTCTTTCCAGGAAGTTTCTCAGTTGAACGACTGTGCAATCACCGAGCCCAAGCTTTTCTAGAGAAGCTCTGATGTACCTCGGCTTCTGGACACCCGATTCCCACAGCCGTCTGACCTCCTGAAAAAGGAAACCGCTGTCAATTCTTACACAATACGCAAATTACGCAAATCATTTACATCAAATACGCACATTTCCATACATATGGTTGTGAGAGATATTAACTCTATCGGTAATGGACTCCACAGAGTACGTTAAACGGTGTGTGTGTGAAGGAGGGGGGATTTGACCCTTGATCTCTCGAGAACTTCAAGACACAAGTATCTACGATGTGGGCACCGAATAGCCTGCCTAAAACAGTTCACTATCACAAAACTAAACTAAACTAAAACATCAAGACGCAGCACATGGTGAGTGAATGAATCATGGAGCCTTTTGCACAAGTAGGTCAGAGATCCGGTCATGGCAGGGCCTCGGCTAGCATGTTAACTACTGGGGCAAATGCCCCAGTAGAGTCGAGGAATGCCCCAGTAGTGGCCAGGCTTTGCCCAACCTCCACAAAATGAGAATATATCAATATTAACGTACATTCTTTCATTCGGGAGCGGCTGAAGACGTTTGTGGCAAGAAATCAGGGGCGGCGGAAGAGGGAGTGCACGGTGTGCAGCTGCACCCTCAAATTCCATCCAAAAACATAGGCGTGCATTGGCAAACATATCTTTTTGCACCCCATAATCCATCTTCGTTCGAAAGAGCGTCAAAAATAATGACGAAATTACTTCGGCCACTTTTTTGGTCAGGTCAAAGGTCAGATCATGGTGCAGGCCAAATTTCACCGATTTTCAGGTCGAATGTCGACAGTTTACAGGATGCCGACTCATAACTCGGGAACCAATTAGAACTACAGCACCGCGGAAAAGCGCATTTGATAGCCATATTAGCATGCTTTCTGGTTATTTCTCTTAGATTTGACCTAACGTCGACGGTTTTGCCTGCAAAGGGCAAAAACTACCAAAATAGACGATTTTTTCGGGAACAGTTTTTCTGCAATAACTTTTGACTCATGCCTTGCACGAGCTTTCTTATACCGACATCGTGTTCCTCTCGCCAATACACATCAAATTAACTGCAATTTGACCTTGAAGGTCAACTTGAAAATTCGACCTCAGGTCAAGGTCATGATCTGACCGGAAATTGTCATGTTGCATATCAGTCGATCTGCATCGTCGAGCCAAACACAACTAAGGCATTTTCATCGCTCTAGCATGCCTCTTTCAAAAGTTATTCGCGAAAAACTGTTAGATACCATTCGTGAACTGAGAAGACCTCAGGGGCATAAACAAGGGTCACGGGTGCTATTTTCATGTTCAGTGTGTCAAAGTCACGTACTGTGTTATATAGTGTTAAGAATAACTTTCGTCCAAAAGAGGCGGTTTTAACTTTTATCCCATTGACTTATAATAGAGGTCGCAAAATTGAGCTGACCTTAGGTCACCGATATGAAAATTCCGAAATATAAATTTTGTACATGTTCATGCCCTTATCAATCGCTGAAAGTTTTAAAGCGATCGGTCACTCGGTGTAGCTACGGCATACACTGAAACATTTTATGAGGTGAGGTCACTTAAGTGACCTGGTGACCTGATCTTGAATGACCTTGGTCTGAAATTTTTACAACACGTGTAGAATTGATGGATGATGGAGCGCCGCCGTTTTTTAGATATCCGCGAAAAACCGCAGGAAAAACCGCAAGTGTTCAAACACCCCCCCCCCCCCATCCAGCAGGGCGCCAACACACTTTGACGATTTGCCCCAGTAGTCAAAATTCCTTAGCCGAGGCCCTGGGTCATGGTCAGGTCAAGAGTACAAAAAGCAAGTTTCTACATTATCAGCTTTGGAGAGCAATTGTCAAAGAATGGACTTTATTCCCTACCTCAAACATGTTTTTTGGCTATAAAGACCAGATGCATTACATGCGATGTCATGCAAAGCCGCATCAAGGTGGGGTCAGGTCACCAAAAATGAAATATAGAATAGGACATGTGCGATGCATATTTTATGGTTCACTTTATTCATAGAATTCAATAAGCACGTCCAATCAATGATTTGAACCATATTTGGATTAAGTTAATGTCGAGGTCAGGTCAAAGTCCGGTCAAGTGAGGTCAAATTTTGAAGTAATTAAGACCCAAAAAGGCATCTATCTGCAGTTTTTCATGACAAATCGACGGAATTAATAACCTAACCTAGCCGGGCCCGGGCGGAGAGTACACCAATTTTTTCCTATTTTTGGTCACAAGCCACAAGGTGTAAAATTGATGCCCAGAGGGGCCCTGAAAGTTTCGTGTCAGGTCAGGATCTGCTATAATTTGGCAGATATCAACTGAGAAGGAGGAGAGGGGGCTGTTTCGCCCCCCCCCCCCTCCAAAGGGACGTGGGTTAAGCACTATCCGTGAAAAACCTTATGGTTGGGGACTGGGGGGTGCAACAAACCCTTCCCCTAGCTGGGCAGGGGTGACACTGCTGAGTGGTGTTTGGCACATCAAGTGTTACCTGCTTTGCTTCTGAAGAGAGGCCCCACTTCTTCTGGTTTGGTGGATGGAAGTGCGCCTTCCCATTGTGGAGCACTTCCACTTTCTCACTGTAGTTTGGGTACATGACTGTCAGCTCTGCTTTGCAGCCAATGACAGAGCAATGGAAGTACCTCTTTACACTAAGTTTGGTTTCATTCATTCTCTTCTTTGCCCATCTTCCTGGGGTTATTTTTTGCTCTGGAAATAAAGACACATATGAGTACCTATGGCAATGAGGAACAAATTATTTAGCTTCTGTATCAATGGTTGGGCAAAAATGAACAGTCTAACCAGTTCTGCATAATAAAATGCATTTTCCCATCAAAGCATGCAAGTCTTCACCATACTTCACAAAAATGCAGCTAGTGCCCACACATTTTCAGTGTACATTCTAATTTAAGTTGAGTAGTAATAGACAAATATATATTAAGACGTCTTAATATATATATTCTAATCTAAATTGAGTTAGCTACATCAGCTGAGGCGGTCTTACAATTTAATAGGCTATCTTAATGGCAAATGTATGCCAGTCAAAATGCATATTCAATGAATGATTTGTCACCTGAATCATGCTTCCATTTCTGGAACGTTTCTTCTGAATCCAGTGAACAAACATGTTGCCAATCCTGTCCTTTGGAACGTCCCTTTCTTTGTGGATTTTTCTGAGGTGCAAGTGCATCCTCGATTGCAAATCCACTTGCATGATCTCCACTGCCACCTTCCTCTGTTGTTCCTTCTGGACATTCATCATCCCCAATGTCATCTTCGACTTGAAGGTACACAGGCCCATCAACTCCACTGCCACTAATAACCTCAATCGTGGGGTGAAATTCCTCCTTTACATCACTTTTTTCTTCATTTTGAACTGAAGAAGACTGAAATGTCTTCTTCGTTAGAGGCGGCGATTGCGGTGGCGAGCGGGGCGGCCACTGCTTCTTCTTTTCACGCCTTGGTCGGCTTGATGCAAGGCTTGATGAAGCCACTTGCACTCCAATATTATCCGTTTCCTTCTCTACTTCTTCACCAGCGTCGCTCTTCAAACTTCTACCTCTTAGATGTTTTCCTGCATTTTGGTCCGCCATAATGAGAAATAGGCGGAAAGCAGCAAATCGAGGAGCCACAAATGGCGCCGACGGCGTGCGCCCTTGAAGTCGCCACCAACCGCCACCAGGTGGCCTACGCGAGTTGCCTAGCAACCAGCTAGAAAAGCCCGCGAATGGCAAGAAGAGATCACCCGACCCCCACCAAACACGATTTGGCAGCACTGTAAAGACGTCTGCTGGGGCATATTTACGTCTGGACAACGAGTTGCGGGGAAAAGTGTTGACTTTGTCGCAGTTTTAGGAGCCGGTGATTAGGCTGGATTTTTGGGTTACTTTTTCGTTCCCATTCATGTATTTCATAGTGTTTGGCTTTTGAATATTTTAGTTCTTTCAGATAAATATTGCTTGCCCTACAACTTTTGTAAAAACGTTTCATTTTTTTATAAGCCGACCGTCAGAGTCCTAAAAATACATCAGCACTACAGTCATTGTAAACAAACAAATGGAGCACCGCTTGGCTCTGTTCCAAAAGGCCCTTTTCAAGTTTATCTGGTGGTTTCCGTAGGTACTCTTGTACGTCGTTTTGTTGGATGGGTTTGACGTATATCATATTTAAGAAGCATGTTGAATGAAAACAATCCCAAGTATCAAGGAGGCTGACAGAGGTCCTGACCCTGACCCTGAGCAATAACAATATCAAGTTGAACTTGGAAGTTATGAAATTTTGGTTGATTAACGCAGGTTGATCGGGCTCACATATCAGCAAGAAAAAGTAAAATTAAAAGAGCTCATCATTATTGGCCAAAAACAAGCTATAATTTTGCAGGAGATCTTGGATCAATACTGAAGATCACGCTGAGCACTTGAGCAGTATCATGCCAGAAAATGTTGACTGATGAGTGCATATTATTGAATGATAACTTACAACAACAAGATAAGTTAGTGCTAACTATCAAGTGAAAAATCTAGAATGAATGGACTCGGGGAGCTTTACTGTGATTAGATGCTATGCAGACGGTAATGTGCATCAGGTACTCAGTGTCTGGCAAATGAAACATGCGATCATTCCATTGCTACTGGAGGAGAAAGCTTGGATCACTAAATCCACTTTATGTTGATTTTCCTGTTAATCATTACTGTATTTCTTGAAAAAAGGATTGTAGTAAAATTGTCAATGTGACAATCCATGCAACGATGTTATCATATGTGTTCATTAGTCATTTGTGATAGTGATTGTTGGTCCAGTATACAATGGCAAAGCTTCAGCGTTTTTTTCTTCTGTGGATGGCCAGCAGTGACTCAGAACTTAGAAGTATTAGTTTTCTCCACAGGGCTGGGATAAAAAGTACTGAGGGTAATCTTCCACCAAGGAACTTTACTTTGACATGGTATGAGATGCAGGCACAAGTAGGTAGGTGCTTCGTTCCTATAGTCAGTAATTGTGTAGGTTTAGTTGGGTTAGCTTATATTAGGTTTTAATTTGCCCCAAGTGTCCATAGAAATGTGACCTGATTGAACAGTGCGCATACCTGACTAACCCGACAGCTGACCTAACCTCAATCATCACACATATTTGCAACCTAGCCAAGACCTGCATGGCAGTAGCACCCAGTTATAGGTAGGTACTCACCCTAACTCAATCTTACCTGCTAACTTAAACTTGCCAACAGTTAGCTCACCTTGCCAAGCTGCATCCAGGGAAACAGTCAACTGAGGAACTGGCTCATTGGGTGGTTGGTGTGAGTCTGTGCGTTTAAAGTGTTTCTTCTCTGAAGCTGCTCTGCACTGCTGTATGTCATGTTAGATGCTCAGAAAAATGTGGGAAATGATAACTAAGCCAGGTACTTTAGTGCTTTGTTAATGCTTGAGAGATGAACAAGTACAAATCCTGTGGGACACAGCTATGAGTTAGGTGCTAGGTGAGTATGTTATGTGAATGTGCTGGTTCCCTGTTTGACTGTAGTAAGTATACAACAAGCACAGGGTCACAGTTATATTCAATCTCCACATAAACATACAACAAAAACGGCCATATAGCCTCACTCCGAACACACCACAAATAACTTAAGCCTTTACAGGCACAAAAATGCTTTGATTTACAGGACAGGTATACAACATATCCTCTGTCCTTGGGGATCTTGCTGCCAAGTTGAGGTGCGATGACTGAACTTCAGGATTGATCAACCTTTTCTTCTTAGCCACTGCTTTTATACGAGAAAGACTTACTGCTTGTTTATAAGCTGCGTTGAAAATTTAATGATCCGCCTTCAATTCTGGCATGAAGGCACAAATAAAATAGTTCCCTCTCCTCTTGGAATACACAAAGCAAAATATTTAATAACTTTTAGTGGATGGACAAGAGCAATTTGAATTAGCATAGCTTTCCCTCAAGTTAACTTCTGGCACTGATGAATTACAATGACACCTCTGATCCAATAAGATAAACTTGGAATGTGTAAACCTGCCTAGTCAATCATGCAACAGATGAACTTTAGGTCAACATGATATTTATTCGCTTCATATTTTGTAACAAACGCGCAAAAACTGCAATATAACAGCACTATATGCTTTTTGACAAAATGCAATAGAAGTAAAACTTAACGCTGATGGCATTCATTCTTAGTGGAAATGTAATTACAAAATATTTTGTGGTAACTATTGAATTTCAGCTAAAAACAGTGCACGGTTTAAAAAAGAATCATTCCCATGACGGTCCATTCTTGCGGTCCTGAAATCGCCACTATTTCCGGCCTCTCCAACGCAACTCGTTGTCCAGACGTAAATATGCTCTGCGCATGGGATGGGGCGCATATTTACGTCTGGACAACGAGTTGCGTTGGAGAGGCCGGAAATAGTGGCGATTTCAGGACCGCAAGAATGGACCGTCATTGGAATGATTCTTTTTTAAACCGTGCACTGTTTTCGGCCTGAATTTTATAGTTACTACAAAATATTTTTTAATTACGTTTCCACCAAGAATGAATGCCATCAGGGCTAAATTTTTACTACTATTGCATTTTGTCAAGAAGCATATAGTGCTGTTATATTGCAGTTTTAGCGCGTTTGTTACAAAATATGAAGCGAATAAGTAGCCTTGAGCGCTGTTCGGCAGCCGGCTATTTTGTGTGCAGGGTATGACGTATTTCGCGAGCCGACGTCACAGGCGGTGACGTCGGCTCGCGCGCGAGCCGAGCGCCAACGACAAACTAACGGGAACCCTCGGACACCCTCGGGGCATAAACCGCGGAGTAGCATATTGAGCGAGGCTTATAAGGGAAATTCATATATTTTCGTTTCTCAAATGATAATCAGGGTGTCTCTTACCTTTTTACATATCATTTAGGCTTACCTAACACTTCAGTTGCCAAATATCTGCAATTTATCCAAGCGAAGGTATTTTCAGTAAATATCAATGGTATAGACCGAAATCTTTTGAATAAAAACTCCAACCAACAGAAATAAAAATAACTTAATTTAATCCAACCATTTCCTCAAAATAAACAACATAAAAACTCACTTTTACACACATCATTCATAATAATGCATACTAACACGCCGCTTTTGACAATTGCGGCGTCGAGTGGCGCGCTGCTAGCGCTCTTTTTCGATCGCAGAGACCCTGCACGCGCGCGAGCACACTACGTCACGTCCGGGGGGCACAGGTATATGAAAAATCGCAGTGACGTAACACTTTTCTCGCATCTCATTGGTCAATAGCCCGTTGCCGGGGTAACGTGCACGTATGTGAGCGCGGGCAAGAGTACTAGCCGGCCGCCGATCAGGGCTTTGGAATAAGCGTCAGTGTGCCAGAAGTTAACTTGAGGGCTAATTGCTCTTGTCCATCCACTAAAATTTATTAAATATTTTGCTTTGTGCATTCCAAAAGGAGAGGGAACTATTTCATTTGTGCCTTCATGTCAGAATTGAAGGTGGATCATTAAATTTTCAACGCAGTTTACAAACAAGCATTTGGTCTTTCTCGTATATAAGCAGTGGCTAAGAAAAGGTTGATCAATCCTGAAGTTCAGTCATCGTACCTCAACTTGGTAGCAAGATCCCCCAAGGACAGAGGATATATTGTATACCTACATGTCCTGTAAACCAAAACAAACAAGCATTTGGTCTTTCTCGTATATAAGCAGTGGCTGAGAAAAGGTTGATCAATCCTGAAGTTCAGTCATTCAACTTGGCAGCAAGATCCGGCAAGGACAGAGGATATATTGTATACCTGTTCTGTTGATCAAAACATTTTTGTGCCTGCAAAGGCTTAAGTTATCTGTGGTGTGTTCGGAGTTAGGCTATATGGCAGTTTTTGTTGTATGTTTATGTGGAGATTGAATATAACTGTGACCCTGTGCTTGTTTGTATACTTACTTCAAACAGGGAACAGCACATTCACATAACATACTCACCTAGCACCTAACTCATAAGCTGTAATCTGTACTTACCTTACCTTACCTTACGGTATACGGGTTGTGGGAGGCCAATTTGGCCTGTGGGGCCCGGTCTCAGCGAGCTCCCAGTGCTTATCGACAGTCAGCCTCAGGTTGGGTAAGATCGGGTTCAGGTGGGAAGGCTTTGCATGATGTCAGCCCAGTGGGCATCCAGCCTGGTCTTGAATTGGTTGACTGATGTAGCTGATACGACCGCTTGCGGGAGAGCATTCCATGGGTTAATAACACGTGTGCTAAAAGAGTGTCTCCGGATGAACGTCGTGGCCCGCGGTTTCGCTAGTTTCCACTCATGGCCTCTTGTTCTTCCTGAAGTTGATCTGGTGAGCAGCTTCTCGGTGGGGACCGCCATGCCACCATGCAGAATCTGATAGACGGCTATCATATCACCCCGTTGACGTCTGTAGTATAGCGAAGGGAGCTTCAGCGCGCGCAACCTCTCTGGATACGACAGGTGTCGGACAGTTTGTACCAGGCGAGTAGCTGTACTTGTTCATGTCTAGAGCATTAACAAAGCACTAAAGTAGCTTAGTAATCATTTCCCACATTTTCTGAGCATCTAACATGACATACAGCAGTGCAGAGCAGCTTCAGAGAAGAAACACTTTAAATGCACAGACTCACACCAGCCACCCAATGAGCCAGTTCCTCAGATGACTGTTTCCCTGGATGCTTGGCAATATGTGAGCTAACTTTTGGCAAGTTGAAGGTTAGCAGGTAAGATTGAGTTAGGGTGAGTACCTACCTATAACTGGGT